AGTGTTGAGGTGACGACTGATAGAAGAGAATGGAATAGAAAAATTCGCTGTACCGTACCCCACCTAGTGAGATAAGGTGAAAAACAAAGAAAAAGNAAGATGTGTGGAAATGGTGGTGCAAGGTAGAGAGTGAAAAAGTCGACTGAAGAGGACATGGATGGAATGTTTGAATAGATGATGAATATATGACGATATGGAGAAAGAGGAGTGAGTGTTGAGGTGACGACTGATAGAAGAGAATGGAATAGAAAAATTCGCTGTACCGTACCCCACCTAGTGAGATAAGGTGAAAAACAAAGAAAAAGGTAAACATGATCGAATAGACGAAAAAAAAAGTTGAATAACATTATTATCCGACCTTATCCGCGTATATCTATCTTATTAACATCATCAGATTATTATAGTATTGCTTTCCATCCTAATGCCGTATGAATGGAATTATACCTAAATGGATGGAATCATAAATGGAAAATAAAAAAGCGGTGAGACCACCCTTTGCGGCACTCTCAATATAAATTGATTTGCTATATTTAGTATTAAGGTAGAGCAAGCCTAAATATTGATTATTGATTATTATTGGCTTTAGAGTACCTCTTAGTAGATATTAGAGTAGTTCATGCTCTTAATTACGTGTACATTAATAACAACCAAATGTAGACATTCGAAAACGGACATCACGTTTATTTTACTGCCACTTTAGACACACGAGCCTACGGTCCATCTGATAGTATAGATCATGGACATTAACAATGCCAAGGGCACAGCCTAACGGCTACTCACTGCTAAACTTGATAATGTAGAAACTTGACCGAGAGCCATGGACTACACTAGACTAGTAACAACATATTGTCGTGATGCGTAACGTTTTGTTATACAACTGCAAACGATTGCGACACATTAATTGGCAACTGGGCGCACAGAGCACACAATCTCATCAATTTAGGATAAGGTCCATTGTGTCCAGAACAGAGAAACATCGTTACAACATAATTATTTTGCGCAATAAGCAAACCCGAGAGGCGGAACAAAACAATATCAACGGTAAAATATTCATACAAATTTCGGATTTGAATTTAAATTCTGTACTTTGTATTTTTCTGTATATTTTTGCAGCTGCAGCAATACTCATTTCCAATTGAAGACATGAGTGGATGAAGGGGATATTATTATGATACAATTTGTTAATTTTGAGAAAACGGCAACAAACTTTTGTTACTTGTACTGTTTCTTAGTACATAACTCCTTCATCACATGCAATTTTTAAAAATAGCCTTTAAACCTGGAGTTTAAGGTCTAATATGGTTTATAGGCACATAACACCTTCATTCAATGTAAAAAATAAAAAATCTTAAAAATTAACCACTTTATCCACTAATGTCTTCAATTCTATTACCAGACATTTCGAATACCATCAGTTCTCGCGGTGACGGATGACAAACGTCACTGTGAACGTAATTGGCAATGGGCAGAAGCTCAATCCACCAAACAAAATAGCCTGCACGGTGAAAGATATTTTCCGTGAAGCCGATACGAAATATGCTATCTAGTCTTCACTTCACCATTAAATCGATATAAATACAAAACAGTTTTGCCACACGTGTGAAGGAGCATCAATTGAGAACGGCTCGACCGAGTTGGCTAAATAATTTTTCGTTGCGTTCGTAATTATGAATATAAAGTATGAAAAAAGATTTTTGGACAGTCAATGAGAAACATTTCATGTTGTATGAGAGTGTGGCGTCACAGCCGAGTTTGAATAGTGTAAAATACTCATTGATAACACTTTAATTCCGAATTAGGATCTTAGTTACGCTTATCCCATTACTAAAGGACATAGGTTAGTTACACTTAGGTGTGCTCTACTCAAGCGATCATCATGAAACTTGGTGTGAACATAACAACGTGTATAGCGAAGAATATTCCTTTCATCCATAAAAAACGCACTGTTCCCGATAGATTTGTACATTTGCGCAAGTTAAAACTATATAGTTTGAATATAAAGCAAGATACCGTGCTCTAATCTCAGGATGTCTGACCAACTTTCCATGCGGGCTGTGAACGAAAGCCAAACAATTGTATAGCAACGGCACGACAGGATTTACTCGGCATTATCCAAAAAGTTGTGATAAGCGTAAACCTTCACGGTTCTCGATTCGGAAGTCTTACAATTATCGTACAGCTCATGGCCTCGTGTTATCGCGGGTATCGTACTGGAGCACACAGGTAATACAAATTAATGACTGATGCCGGCCTCCTTGTGCTACATACTAACACGACTTTTCTATTATCTGTCCGTAGAATGATCCCGCATAGAAAAGCCACTTTTCTTCTCTTGTTGGTTGTGAATTCTGCTTCGGTGAGACTTGGGACACTTCGGTTTCGACCGAAGGAGATCTTATTGGAATTCAAAACACAAATATCACTTTTTTTGTCCCAGCCAGTGAGGTACTTTTGGAGCTTAACAACAAAGGGAAGATCTTCCACCGAATGGGTGAAATTGCTCACTAGACTGACGGTCCGAATGTTTTCGTTCGGAAATTGTATGCAAACTTATCATGAAATTATCGTTAGAAAGACTCAAAGTATCTGTAAAAAAATCTTGCGTTCTATGATAATAGCTACGCGATACACACAGATCCGGCAATTTGCTTCCGATTCCAAGAAAAAAAAATCTTTTCAACAAAAAGTATAAATGTATAAATGAGCCAACAAGAATGATCCATCCAGCCAGATCCAGATTAGAAGCCTTTGCCGACTCACAAACCATTGCATTGATAACAGTGATCTATGGCACTGTGGTTATTTAAAAGCGATTAGATCGAAATAACCAATGACGTCATTCAACACACCTAGTCAACTTTACGTAATATGTGCTAACGGTGGCACGCGATAACCGTAACTTATTGTTATAACCAATGCCAATATCCACCTTGATTCATGAAATCGAAATTTTGTATCCATTGGCATAATAAGCGTCGCACATTAGAAAATACTCCAACGGAAAATTTTGTGTCTTTTTATATTGCTGGTAACGTCATCGTTACTAATTGATACCACATCACATTTACCACAATCATATTTAGGCCTTATTAAATTCTGAATACCAACTATTTCGTTGCATTCGCTTATTTAAAAAAAAAATTTACTTAGAGTATCTTTTTTTTTAATGATTGAAGTATTACTGGTGGCCCTGAGGCGTTTCCAGTTTCACCAGGACAGGTAACTTGGAATATCATTGGAATAACATTGACTAACAAATTTAAACACTTACAATTTCAAATTACCATGCTATCTGTTACAGACGATTAATAATTTTGATAGCAACAAAAACTGGCACATGCACATAAATGTATTTCTTCAATTTATATTAAACAACAAGAAAACAATCATCTCATTAATACAAAATTTATCCGTTTTCCTCTTAAACAATAATAACTACATTTAAAATGAACCGAGTTACTATTGCTCAATTCCAAGTATTTAACCAGATATTTATTGTTTACTAGCTGACCCGGCAGACTTCGTAGTGCCTCAATCGATAAATAAAAGACCTACTAAACTTTTGTATAAAATAAACTTAAAACAAACAAAAGGAATCCGTCCGACGGGGGACACATCAAAGGAAAAGCAAAATTGTTATTTTTATTTAATTCCGAGCATTTTCATATTTATCTATCTACCTTTTAAACCTTCTCTGGACTTCCACAAATAATTCAAGATCAAAATTAGCCAAATCGGTCCAGCCGTTCTCGAGTTTTAGCGAAACTAACGAACAGCAATTCATTTTTATATATATAGATAGATTTAATCTAAAACCATTGCACGTTTGGGCGAAAATAGTTGATTATGTTTTTAAACGTTAGACCGATTTCCTGTCTAACGCACCTGTCAGAATGGGCGGCTTATAGCCGGCGACCCGAAAATACCGCAGATCGCAGATTAAGCACGGTAATAGTTACACAGTAGACAGAAACACACTACAGTAACCGTACGAGAATGGCTTCAATATACGATAAAACATTACCGCCGAACCAACGAGGAGATTCAACGAACAGTCGTGTAATAAAAATCAAACCCGCAAAATTATAATTTGCGTAATTACTTGTGGTAGGACCTCTTGTGAATCCGCGCGGGTAGGTACCACCACCCTGCCTATTTATTTCTGCCGTGAAGCAGTGATGCGTTTCGGTTTGAAGAGTAGGGCAGCCGTTGTAACTATACTTGAGACCTTAAGAACTTATATCTCAAGGTGGGTGGCGCAATTACGTTGTAGATGTCTATGAGCTCCAGTAACCACTTAACACCAGGTGGGCTGTGAGCTCGTCCACCCATCTAAGCAATAAAAAAAAAGTTAAACTGAGTACCTAAATGATTAATCAATGAATTCTTCAATTTCCTTTTATCTAATCTTTATCCGTTATCTATTTTAGCACGTGACAAAAACTAGCGACCGTCTGAATACATGAATTGCAAATCTGTTCGAATAGATAACAGGTGATGATCTCGTATTGTTGTTTTGCGGACAGTCAGACTTACATACGCTAAAATAATTAAAGCTAGAAGGTAAATTAAGAACAACAACATACCGCTCCAATTACACGGTCCTATAAAACGCATCATTTTAATACGGTCAATAAATTTAATCATTAGGGAAACGTAACGCACTTTTATGTATGTATTTAAGTTTATTTATAAAATTTCGATTTATTATTGTAATTAAGTTGAATGAAACTCGTTGGCCCGAACTGTACGTACCTACGTAATTTATCACTGCAATATTATCGCAGTGATAATAAGCAAAAAACTTGGCAATCTCTGTTTTCATTTACGTACGATACTAAAAATATTAAATTTTCATCTACTTTCAATGAATAAGCATATCATTTTCTAATAAACATAATATAAAACTATTAAATTAATGCAGAATCTTTGATCGCACAAAACTAAAGTGTTTCGTGAATTCAATTTACATTATTCGCGTAATTTATTTAAGTGCCGAACCCTAAACAGATCGGTCGTCTTCGGCCAAGAATTACTTGCAAGCAAGAATGCGACGCGACGGTGTGTAGTGTGTCGCGAGTACACGGCCCGTTTCCGAAAGCACTTTCGGGGTCGCTCGGCACTCTCCGCTCCCCACAGCTGACTGGTCGAACGTGCGAGCGAGCGAGGTGATACACGCGCCGTTAACGTCAGACAAGGATCGCGTACCGCGCAACTCGACGGCCGCCATTTAGTATCCAGTCCTCCGCTTCAACGTAGTGACAGCTAGCGTATTTTACGAATCAAACGCAAAGAAAATTCGTTTATTCAATGAGTTATATTCAATTTAAAATTGTTTGTGCACTATGTTGAACGTGTGAATCGTGAATGTGCAATGGAGTTTCATTTAAAAAGGTGAAGTTTCGTAACGTACGAGTGAGAATGAGTGTCTTCGGCGCGTCTGTTGTCGATGTAAAATAACGTGGATTATGCAAGTTGGTGTAAAATGTGGACGTGTGTTAGGTAAATACCACATATTTACTTCATAAATGTGTATATGATGAGTATATGAGACGGTTTCAGTTGAACAAACATGATAACGAAAGTGATGGTAGAATGCTAGGGTTCACAAAGTCGTCTAAAGAGAACGAACATTTCCAAGTTAGACGGGAGCCGCGTTGAATTGGCCCATTGAGAAACACAGAGTTCTGCATTGTTGGTTACAAACCGTAGATAAATAATTAGTGAAGGCAGGAAACGGAGCAGCGTTCTCTAACCTCGCGCACCAACTATTTCACGATAAAACTAAACGAGTGCTAATTTGCAAACTTGTTTGTTGATATTTAACATGATTTGAACATATTTAGGAAGTGTACAAAGTCTTTTCAATTCAATAGCGTAGAACGAGAGCCAACATGTTCTGGCAAAACTAAAAAAAAACTTTACAATATTAACGAAATCTTCTGTTAATATAAATGAATGTCATAAAAAGTTTCACGAGTCGCCGGTAGTTTTGAATCTAGGTCTAGGCAGGTAACTCGTTACTGATTGTGCATTAACTGTAACTAATGAACAAGGCGACCGCAATGCGTTCTCGATTAAATATAAATCTTTAAACACTAAACGAAAAACTTTTAATGTGTCTGTCTATTTCGATGTATTTATTTCCAGAGCTCGTGAACTCAATTTATATATCGAGTTCAATAACAAGTGCTGAATATTAGTTGAATAATAAACGAACGTTGTTCATCAGAGAGTGCTTCAATTATCCACGTAAAGCCACATTTCATGTATTGAAATTTAAATTATGATACTAAGTTTGCTCATACATTAAGTACTTGGATAGCCTTATCACTAAACTTTTGTGACTCGGTTTGAGAGTACGAATAGTCTCCTTCCGATTTACAATGATAGAAATTCTGTAAGACCATATAAATGAATAGATCACTTTATTGTATCATTAATAAGCGTTATAATAAACGTTTTTATCGCTAACTCCAATTTATTCTAGAAAACCTTAGAATAGAAGCGATTATTGTAAAAGCTGGTATCGGATGTGTAAACATTACAATTAAATAAGTCAAATAACTAATAACTTTTAAATATAAAACAATTTCGATATTACCCTCTCTGCTGCACAACGTATAATTCAAGCGAGGTTACATTACAATAAAATATGAGATGTTTACAATAAGTGTACACGTTCATAGTCAAGTATAGATAACAATGCTACATTTGCTATTCGCTATGCATAAATTACGTTTCACTGAACGTGCTGTTTTCCATTGTTGCAGTAAATAAGACTATGAGGGTTGTAATATAATGCGGTGGCTGCAGGCAGTATTGTCAGTAGCAGCTAGTTGCGCGGCTGTGGGGGTGGCGGTCTGTCCTGACACTTGCACGTGCGACGATGAACACCTGACCTGCTCCAATACGTCCGTCCAGGACAACAAGCTAACTAAGACGACGCTCGCCAAATACGGAAACCTCTTAGATACAATAATCTGGACAAACTCTAATATTAACTACCTCGAAATTGATTTGTTCAAAACATTTCCAAGACTATCGTACATCGATTTGAGCGGAAACGTTATCAAGAGGACTGGAAACGGCCTGTTCGCGCAGTTCGGTCGACTGATTTACTTGAACATTTCCAGGAACGAACTAGAGGATATACCGAGGTCCACGTTCGCCGATTTAGAAAATCTAGAAGTCCTAGATCTGTCCCATAACCGGCTCAGATTCATACCGTTTCAAGTTTTCGAACCCATGCCCAAACTTCAGTACCTGGATTTATCGTATAATAAATTAGCAACATTTTTAGATTACTATTTCAATCCAAACAAACACTTAAAAACGCTGTTCCTAAACGATAATAGCCTAGTCAAAATAACATCTAACGCTCTAGTCAACTTGAAGGAGTTGGAAACATTGGATTTATCAAATAACAAATTAGACTACATACCGAAATCATTTTTCGACAATTTTGAATTGCTGAGGGAACTTAACTTAAGCTACAATCCTTTTCAAAACATATCACAAGACGCTTTCAAGAACCTCAAGAAACTGCTGTGGTTGAACATGAGCGGCAACAGACTACGGCTGCTTCCTCCGGTGCTCTTCCAGTATAACGAAAACCTTCAATCTCTCTACCTCGATCACACTGAACTAACAGTTATACAAAATACTAATTTCAAAAATTTAAATAATCTCAAGAGACTTTACATTAGGAATAATTCGTATTTACGTGAAATAGAAACGTACGTATTCCAAGATACTCTCAATTTAACGCATTTAAATATTAGTTCGAACGCATTAACGTTCCTACCGTTGTCTTTGAGCATGCTGGACCAGCTCCGGGAGTTGTGGATAGGAGGGAACCCGTGGGCTTGCGACTGCCGAATGGCGTGGTTCGTAGACTGGGCCGAACCGAGACTGAGCAGAGGAATCATAAAGTCTGAACTGAGCTGCGGCCAGTCTTACCCGGGCGAGATGTTGCCGATACTGCGCCACACGAACTGCAAGCCGCCTCGACTGATCTCAAGCAGTCCGCTGACGCTGTATCGACTGCAGTCGGACGCGCTATTAGAATGCGAATTCGTCGGTAATCCGACGCCTTCGATAACATGGATCACGCCAACCAGGACCGTGTTCCACTGGAACCCAGACCCGATCACGCCAGACATATTCCACAAGCACGGCGTCGCCCACGATCAGTATTATAACGCGATAGACAATTCGAAATCGAGAGTGAGAGTTCTTGAAGACGGTTCGCTATTTATCGGGAATATACACAGGGAAGACTGTGGAAGTTACTTGTGTGTCGGAACCAATCCTTCGGCGAACGTTTCCGCCGAAGTAGTCTTGAATATAGATCCTATGACCATGTACGAAATCAAAATATACAGTTTGATGTGGGGAGCGATATGCGCTGCCGGTTTCCTGGGATTAACGCTATTGGCCCAGGCGTTGCGATACATATTTTTCAGGTCAGTAATATTTATATTTTTATATTACGCGACTAGCATTGTTTTTTACTATCGGTCATATAAATTTTATATAATATAACGACTGATCTATTCTTCAAACAGGAAACGCAAAAATATATAGTATAGTGGGTGAAGGACCTGTAGTAAGTAGTAGGACACCATTAAGAGGTTATTTTTAATTATTTTGAGTTTTCATTTTACATTCCGTTTATAAATTTAAGCATGTAATTCGTGAATACATTAGGTACAAAGTTACTTAAAAAAAATTGCCTAGCTCCCTTCAAAGAACCGCGTAAACGATTCTATACGATATTTCCTACATGTACATGGAGCGTCTTATCTATTAAACCACGGGCGATTTCGATGGCAAACATTGCTTATGCTATGTGATATGTGATAACACGTGATAATTCGTGAAGACGCCGTCGTCCTTGAATGATTTCTGATTTCAATCAACAGTTCATAAATGTTTACGTAAATATGTTATATTTTCAGGTTCCGATTGATGGAGACGTGTTGCAGTTGTTGCGGGTGCGTACGCCGCGACGCGCCGCGCTCGCGACAAATCTACAGTATGTTGGACAACATAGAACAATATAAGAGACAACAACTAGAAAAATTAAGAGAAAACTATGCCGTTCAGGTAAATTTGTTTGTTTAGTTTAATGCGTAATTTAAGCGTCAATGTCTTGTATGTAGTGTGTGAGTGAGGATATTTTTTTTCTAGGTACATCGAATAAAAGAAAATTGTACACAACAGATGGAATGGATACAGAACAGTTACTCGAGTCAAGCAAGTCATCTCCGCAACATTAGAGACATTGGAACGAATCATTTAACCGCCATGAGGGACCAGTATTACGATCAGGTAGTTTATATTTATTTACATTTCATTTTGCACGCGGCTCTAGTCAAATATTTACCGTCGAACTGTGACTTATTCCGTAGGTGAAGCGCGTGAGAGAATACTCGACCAGTCAACTGAACTGGGTGCGAGAGAATTACGTATTCCAAAGAAACAAAATAAGGAAGTTCAGCGCGCATCAGATCCTCCGCATCCGCGAGTCTTACAAGTACCAGCAGCAAACCCTGAACAAGGTCCTCGAGAACCTGCCGAGCTTGTACTTCGAGAACTGCCGCAGCGGCTCGTGCGGCCGCAGCGACTCCATGGCGTTCGACCCCGACGTCGAGGTCATCGACATGTACCTCAAGACCAAGATAGAGAAGCTGTCCAATCTCGCCAGCCCCATAGCGGACGACGAGAGCAAGATATCCGTGTACTACACGCCGACGGAGCGGTCCGTCAACTCGCGGCGCAGCTCGCCCGTGCCGCTGCCCGAGGGTATCCACATCAACATGATTGAGTGCGAGCCCGAGCTGTGCCTGGAGCTGCCGTCCACGTCGCGGGGGGGCGGGGTGCGGGCGGGCGCGGTGCGGGCGGAGGCGGCGCGGGGGGGTGCGGTGCGGGCGGAGGCGGTGCGGGGGGGCGCGGCGCGGGCGGGGGCGGGCAAGCCGGCGAGCGAGCCGCTGCTGGGCGGGTGGCGCGGCGGGTCGCTGGGCGGCAGCGCGAGCTCGCCGGAGCTGCGTGCGGCGCGCGTGCTGCTGGCGGTGGAGCTGTGCGACGACACGCGCTTGTAGTGCAGGCTGCGGACGCGCGTCTACAAGCTGTACGCGTTGTCGGGCCGGGCGCCGCTCCTGTGATATCCTAGACTAGACGTTGAGTGCGTTCGAACGACGGTATCGTGCCGTGGGTATTAGTGCTGTAAATAACTGTGAACTTCGTTTCGTTAGTTTTCCATTTTGATGTATTTTAGGATGAATTCTAGAGCGTTACGCGTTTTATATTTGTTCAACTTGAATCGTAAGTAAGGAAATTGTTACAGTTTGTCTCGATTAGTGCGAGCCCGGTTGTGAGCCGCGGNAGACGTTGAGTGCGTTCGAACGACGGTATCGTGCCGTGGGTATTAGTGCTGTAAATAACTGTGAACTTCGTTTCGTTAGTTTTCCATTTTGATGTATTTTAGGATGAATTCTAGAGCGTTACGCGTTTTATATTTGTTCAACTTGAATCGTAAGTAAGGAAATTGTTACAGTTTGTCTCGATTAGTGCGAGCCCGGTTGTGAGCCGCGGAGCGCGCTTCAACTCTTCGATGATCTATATCGTACATTGGCATCGCCTAGTTCACAATTTTGTCATCAAACTTTATCATTCGATTACATTGTAAATAATATATTTTGTGAGTTTGTCGTAAAGTATCTATGAGTCTTGCAGTGATTTGCCAAATACAATTCAGTAAAAAATATATTAAATATGACGTTTCGTATGTAATGTATACAAAATATTGTTGAACATTTTCTAAATATATAACAAAGAGAACAACTAATCATGGATAAATAAATTATTTTTCAATTTATTCTCTGTCGTATTAATACTACACGTCCCTAATGTTAATTATATTCGCATAATAGCGATGCGTTCCAACTATAACTTGCTTACTTTACAACTACTATAGTAGAATTATTTTGTCCGTGCAGTTTGGGTCATAAAAAATCGGAGCGGTGCAGCGAATATTTCGCTCTCTCTTCCACTCACGAGCCTTATGGACGGGCATAGTGATGCGCATTATTGTTGTCGATAAGCGTTATCGATAGTGTATTTAGTTTTGTCATTTTGTGGTTAGTGATAAAAATGAAAGAAAAAATCACTAATCGAACCACATATCGCCGCAGCAAGTTGACGAGAACGGCAGAAATTAACACTTTGTAACTTTTCGGGATCTATTCCCATTTCAGTGAAAAATTTTAACACATTGTTGATAATGACACGTGCTTGTGCTGGTATATTTTTGCCAACAAGCAAAATATTTGAATAAATTCTGCCGTTTTGGCACAAAACAAAGGGGTAGCCATTGTGTCACTAAAGAAATTCATAGTGCGAATGCACAAAATCACATTTTTCTTTGACATAATTATGTACTATAATTTACAGATAGGTACAACAAATGACTCATAACATAACAATGTCTCACCACCTTTCGAATACCACCCCGTCTTTATCGATAATGTCGATCGATTTTTGTTTTTATCGATAATGGCGTTGCGCCCGCGCAACATTCCCACCGCCCTAGCTGGGCTATGTTTTATGACCCAAACTGCACGGACAAAATAATTCTACTATAGTCATATTGAGACATTAAAATTTATTTTTTTCGTAGAACTACACGAGTCCGTCATCAAGTACTTAAAGCATGTTTTTCTGTTCATAAATAAAACACAGATTCGTCATAGCATGTTTATTGTGAATGTGATATAATGACGACATATTTTAAACAAGTCTAAGGAGAATATTTACGTTTAAAAATTTTATGAGAGCTAAAATAATTTGGGAATACGAACTACTAAATGTAAATAATAATTTAGTTTAATCTCTGTCTTCTATTAGATAAATCCCGATGTAACAAAGGGGTCAAATTTAACGAAAACATTTATTTGATTATCTAAGTAACAAGGTTGTTTAAGTTTTATATGGTATTTGGTAATATTAAATGGTAAATTAATATTCAGAACCAGAACGTGAAGTCTTAAGCGGCAACATACGTATCCAGAGGAAATTAATTTATAATAAGGAAATTGGTAGGAGAAGGTTGGTAAGAGAGGTTAACTATGGATATGGAAGGATATAGAGGAAGAGGACCTAAGAAGAAATGGATGGATTGCATGAAAGACAATATATATAAGAAGAGGAGAGTGAGCGAAGAAATGGTATATGATAGAGGAGTATGGAAGGAGAAAGCATGTTGCGCCGACCCCAGATGACTGGAAGAAGGGCAGGAGAATGAATTGGGTAAAGAAAATTAATTTAAAAACAGTCTAGTGACTTATTGTTAGTAATTTCGAGAAAACTGAAATATATTTATATTAAATTTATAATAAACTGGAGACCATATAATTTACTACATTTTCACGACGATCTAGGAATTTAGAATGGCATTTTTTTCTTCTTACTCTATTATAGTTTTATAGAAAACCTTTTTTTATAGTACATTTACGAGTTCATGATACCGTTCGGTTTTCTCGCTGTAAATACATCTACTAGTTTACGTTTACGGACGTTACGTCACTTGAGTGACATCACAGTTTATCATGAGCGAAACAACCGACCTAAGTAATATTTCTTAAGATAATACTGCTTAGTATTATATATAATATGGTATATAGTATAGTATATTGTGCGGTATAATATACTTATATATAGTGTATTTATAATTATTGAAATAGAAAAGGCTTTTACTGGTAGGACCTCTTGTGAGTCCGCGCGGGTAGGTCCTGCCTATTTCTGTCGTGAAGAAGTGATGCGTTTCGGTTTGAAGGGTGGGGCGACCGTTGTAACTATACTGAGACCTTAGAACTCATATCTCAATGTGGGTGGCGGCATTTACATTTGTCTCCACGGGCTCCGGTAACCACTTCACCCCAGGTGGGCTGTGAGCTCGTCCACCTACCTATGCAATAAAATAAAAACGAAACTTTTTCTTCAAAAGCCAGCAGATCTGTATAGATACTACGGTAATTCAACAAGTGTGTTATACTGACATCTAAGTTGAAATAAATGATTTTGAATTTGAATTTGAATTTAAAAAAGAGACCTCCATATACGAAATATATTTAAAATACTATCCGAAACCGAAATTGCATCAAAAAGGCGATAAAAAGTAATCACTAACAGCCTAGTACAAACCTAAACTAAAAACGCTACCACCACAGATCGATCTAATTTCGTTACAAAATTTCATTATCAGCTTTGCAACTAACAGGTCAATTTACTTCTAGGAATCCAACAGAGCGCTGACTGACGCACGAGAAATATGTACCTACTAGTCGACGCGTGCGGTGGCATTGTACTCGGATAATTGACTGTGGCGGCCGCCCGGTCATTCTATTTGAAAACAATTTGCTTAAAAGAACCGATTTTTTTTTCCTTTACGTATGCTGTAAGCCTTGAGAGGCTATATCAGCGTTACTCTAACGTGTAGGTGAGCTCACGGGGCTCAAACCGGAGTGTTGCTAGCACTGGCCCTAGCAAGAGCCGTGCTTCGCAGAATCTACCACCGGATCGGAAACGCGACCCAATGAGAAGATCCGGCGAGAAACTCAGTGGGCAAAATTCCTTAGGCAGATACATCGGTACGTTGATCGTTTTTTTATTACAATGATTGGTAAGACTGGTCGTGTCGTGTCTCTTGTAAGGCCAGCCCGCAATGTATTATGAACTTAAGGCCTATCTATCTATCTCAACCTGTACTCTCTGCATCTCTCAACCATGATTTTTTTTTAGACAAGAGCCTGAAGATATTTCTGTCCGGACAACTAACACCTTACGTATACATTATAATGATTGCTAGACTATCGCACTCGCTAAATATACGAAGCAATGTTACTAAGCCTGCCCTGCAATTGTGTTATTAAACAAATTCATTTTACAACGCGCCGCCATTTTGCTGAGTCTCGACATTCCTGAACTGACTCTAGATCTTTCTTTATTCGATAATTCAAAAACAATTTAGTTGTGCTATTTGAATGAACTCAAATCAGAGATTGTTCATGTCCCGTTAACTTTTTTATCGTATTAGATCAGTATACGCGCTAACTGCCTGCCCGGATTAAGGTGAACGTTGGCCATTGGAGCCCATGAACATCAGAACGCCACCCTGGGCGGAGAGGAAGTCTCAACTGTATCTACAAGGGCGGCTTGAGGTGCGAGGTGCATCTGACCATCCCCACTAATGATACTCTAACAAATATGACGTGGCGATTAACATACAATTCGAAAAATTATTTTTATATATTTTTTCTTTTTATATATTTCCTCTGCTTGTAAACAGACAAAAGAAATTTGTCATTACAACAAATTCTATTAAAATATACGTAAGTTGTGTGTTTGTTCTATGCTGGAAAGAGAAAGGGATAAGTTACGTCACGCCTTAGAGACGCCCTGCAAATTAAAACTAACTCACTTTGTGTGAAAGAGAGGGCGCATCCCCTCACAATCCCTATCAAAAGATTCAACAATTCATTTCGCAGAACTTTATGACCCGATTTAAATTTATTTTTCTTCAATATTTTATTTTACATATTTACACTCTTTTCTAAGCTGGTGATCATAAAAAATATGTCATGAGTCTTAATCTATATTATCAAATATGTTAGCAAATCCACCTCCCAACTGAGCCCTTGAGTTCTCGTCTACCTACCTTGGTGAATCTGGGAGGCCCCTGGACAGCAGGCACTCACAAAAAATCACGTGCGCCCTCAGCGAACAGCAGATAGAAAACAATAAAATGTTGAAACTGTTCTTTAAAACCAGCTTTTTAGTGGGTGTTCGCTTGCGATTTGAAGACTCAACATTCAGCGCCGGTGGAAAGCTGTTCTCGAACTCAAGTTCCGTGAAGCCGAGCTATTGATGAGAATAAGCAGCGGTCTAGTCTAAGACTTACCTTGGCCGCGGTTCTGTTCCAAACGATGACCTTGTGCCCAGAGTTGAGAAGGTTCTTCACGATGCCGGAGCCCATGATGCCGAGTCCGAGGAAGCCGAACTTCATCTGGCTGGCCTTGATGTTCTTCTCTAGAAGAGTCTCCGAAACGTTCTCCAGGTCCAGCGGGGGAGTCTCCTGTGAATGCGCGACAGGATTGAACACTTAGAACAAATCTAACGGGGCTGTGAATGACTGTGATTGGAGTCTGCATTACGTACTTAAACGTTGACGTCATTGTACAAAAGAGCGCCGTATCTAGTGAGCAATTTAATGTTTAAACATCCATAATTTCTGCGCAGATTTTAATTTTATCTTCGTAACTTGACTGTATGACTTTGATAGTATTTTGCGATACAATAAAAAATTTACAAACAATATACGGATAATTGATTAATTATTAGTATATTGGCATTGATTTTTACTTTGATGACCCAGCAACAAGCCATATTTATATGGCATATGCCAACGATTTGAACAACAAATTCTTTGTTTTCTTTTTTTTTTAGTTGCCTTAGAAGAGTAGGCGAATTTACCACCCGGTATTAAGTAGGTGCTATTGACATCGTCAATACCGCCGTTCGCTTTGAGACATAACATGAGACAGGTGGAAGCGCTATTGATTTTGTCTTATCATTCTATGATCGGAAAGTTCGAATGTTGGTCACAGAATTGGGCTTCCAATATGCCTTTACGATTACATGTTTACCTATTACTTCGCGTGCTTACTTGTCTTCTCGCATTAAAACTGTATAATCTCAAAACTTACTAATTTTACACGAGAGTGTTTTAAAGGTTTAACGTGTGATATTTTTAATATTAATCATATTTGCAACATTTCTTTTTATTTTTTACCAGTTACATTATCTGTCTTTTAAAGTAGGATAAAATTATATATTAATTTTGTTAATATGTAGTAGTCAAAATATAGGTAAACTAAAAAAAAAACTAAGCACGCTCTTTTGACAGTATTTATGAGAAAAATACTGGTGATACCAAATGATTTCGCATATTAATTCAATTTCGAATATTTTTGGAAATTGTACGCTTTTAATACGAAAAGACGATTTATTTATTTAACTTAATGATTAAATAGATATATTTGATCAAATCGAAAAGGTGCTTGGTTTAAGCGACATTTATCTTTTTAATTAAGGGTCCGTTTTATTTCGTATTACCATCGAGAGTTCGATGTTTTTAATTGAACTTCAATTAAGTTTACTCCATTCAAATAGCTGAAGAGTTTTATTTTATTTTTATTTATTCCCAAATTTTAAACTTTAAATGGCTCTCGATGTGGGATAGGCTCAGTGAAATGCGCTAACTGCACTACTGGAGCAGTCACTCTGACACGTCATTACGGATTCTCCCGATCCATTAACGGTGCTTTTAGGTACCACAAGCACCGGTCACCGTCCTCGTCGAACCCGTCGTTTGCGACGAAGGGCTCGACGAGTAAATTAACCTATAGACACAGACCACGGTGTTTCTCGCTGGATCTTTTCAGTGGATCACATTTTCGATCCGGTGGTAGATTTTGCGTAGCACTGCTCTTGCTAGGGCCATTGTTAGCAACACTTCCGGTTTGAACCCCGTGAGCTCACAGAGAGTTAGGGTAATGCTATATATATATAGCCTCTCAAGGCTATCACTATAGGTACGGAGAAGGCAATGTGTGTGCGTCGGTACGGAGCCTAACGGGCCAGCGAGTGTTCACTTCAGCGGGTGAGCCTGGCGTCGGCGCCATATCATGCGCCATAAGCAAAAATGTATCCCGTGACTATTTACTACAAAATATATTTGTGCGAAGTTTCATCAAAATCCGTCCAATTATTTTAGCGTGACAGTGAAGAAAACCATCCATCTACCCTCACAAACTTTAGCATTTATAATCTATATATATAAAAATGAATTGCTGTTCGTTAGTCTCGCTAAAACTCGAGAACGGCTGGACCGATTTGGCTAATTTTGTTCTTGAATTATTTGTGCAAGTCCAAGGAAGGTTTAAAAGGTAGATAAATATGAAAAGGCTCGGAATTCAATAAAAATAATAATTTTGTTTTTCTTTTGATATGTCCCCCGTCGGACGGATTTCTTTTCTTAGTTTTAAGTTTATTTTATACATTATCGATTGAGGCACTACGAAGTCTGCCGGGTCAGCTAGTACTATCTAAATGTTAAATTCAGTAATCAAATCTTTTATCGCTTTTTCCGGTCACCGTTCTAAATTAACCCATAGACATAGCCCAATGAGTTTCTCGCCGGATCTTCTCAGTGGGTCGCGGTCTGCGTTCCGCGGTAGATTCTGTAAAGCACTGCTCATGCTAGGGCTAGTGTTAACAAAGTACTCAGGTTAGAGCCCCATGAGTTCATCTACTCGCCCGAAGAAGCTAGCACAACCCCTCGAGATTACCAGTATAGGTAGATAAAAAATAACGATTTTTTATTAGGCCGGCATGTAGCTGTCTACCTTAGAACTATACTTTTACCCGCACCCCTAAAATTGTATTGTAGTGCATTTTAGCAATAATCGCTTTATTATCCAGTCGGATACCATTTACAAAATAATTTAAAAGTTTGTTACAGGGGATCTATAATAAATCAAATAAATCAAGCCTTTATTATTAATGCCATAAGCAAATACAACTATGTAAGTACTGCATAAGGTTTTTTTAAAGAACAATCACAACGTATGATGTAATATGTGGTGGCTAATCGTTGTTTTAGTGTAAGTTTGTAGCTCTCATATCACAACAGCTTCTAATCGAATCCGATTACAAGCTAGGCGGGTTCTTTGTTTATATTAACTGCAATTATTTTACATGCAGTTCTTAGCATCAAGATCATTTGCATTATCCCGTCCGCGAGAAGCTAAAATAAACCTATAGGCTACCAGCGAATAGGTGGAGGAAAAAACATGTATTACATCAAGACTCTTTAGGATTTGAAGGCCTTGGATGACGGCTTAGGATCGGAAGGTAGCCGGTACCGTATCTCGGTAGTAGTAATAGTGGTAGGCAGCGGCTTGGCTCTGCCCCTGGCATTGCTGACGTCCATGAGCGACGGTAACCACTTACCACCAGGTGGGCCGTATGCTCGTCTGCCTGCTCGGGCAATAAAATAAAATAAAATAAAGTATTACCTAGTAGTAATTTAAAACTTTTGCTCAAAAATCGTGGTAAGAACCTGTTCAATAACGATGTTTGTAAAGCAGGAGTAGTATCTGATCGATGTCACGTGCCAATACCTTCAGAGTAATACTTACAGGTCTCAATATATTCGAGGGACGCTGCAACAGGCTGGACTTCTTGGAGAACGAGTGGTTCAGCATCGACGGCTTCTCGTTGGCTACATCGGAGTCTGTGTACGACCTGGAGAGGGAACTCTTTGCCTTCTTCCGCGGTGTGGACTTGACGCCGGCCGACGAGGCACGCTTTATAGGCTTCACCTTTGAAATGCCCAAACGTATCTATAAATATTTGAGAATGGTGATGAAACATGAATGATTTCGGTGATGAATAAACGTGAATCTAATTTGAAATCAGCTATTCTTCATTGATTATTATTTATTTATTTATTACACTTCATGTAAAATTTACATTGGCGGACTTATTGCCTAAGGCATTCTCTACCGGTCAATCAAAGGTAGTGCAGAGTAAGTAGTGGTAGGTGCAATGAAATTTATATTAAGTTACGAATACATACACAAAAAAGTATACATATATACATACACACATACATACATAATAATATAATTATTACGCGGCTAGCTTGTTATATGGCTACGTGAACAGTTTCACTAAGCCAGGCCACAAATTCTAGTATTTATTTCTCTTATGTCGTTACTATAAATGAAATGGATGTACACATGTTTATTACTGGTGGTAGGACCTCTTGCGAGTCTACGCGGGTAGGTACCACCACCCCGCCTATTTCTGCCGTGAAGCAGTAATGCGTTTCGGTTTGAAGGGCCGGACAGCCGTTGTAACTATACTGAGACCTTAGAACTGATATCTCAAGGTAGATGGCGCATTTACGTCGTAGATGTCTATGGTGTTCGGTAACCACTTAACACCAGGTGGGCTGCAAGCTCGTCCATCCATCTAAGCAACAAAAAAAAAAGTTAATTGCTTGCTCGTAGAATAGTTCGCAATGATCCTTCATCTTTACCATGGAATCTCCCACGAACGAAACAGAATTGGTCCATACTGACCGCTGCGTTGATTGACAGTGCATTGTCAGATATCTTTGGCCACATACCATCTGACTGATCAATCTCCCCAACTAGACTAAGATAGATATATTCTAAACAGATTATTCCAACACAAAACGCCTAAATGTCAAGTTTTGTTCCTACCGTCACAAATAAAAATTAAGGAGAAGATTAGTATGAGAACCAACCTTAGGCGTGGAACTCTTTTTCTTCGCAGACTCTGGAGCGGGTGCATCATCAGCTTCGGTCGCCTCCTCTTTGCTGTCGTCTCCTTCGACGTTCTCCTTCAGTTTATCGAATTCCTCCTCCACGTTACGGGTGTGGTCGTCTAGATCTCCGAATTTCTGGACGTTACATTTTAATATAAATCAGCATTACAGAACTGTAGCGTCAAGTGTGCTCCCGAGTACATAACTCACTAGAATTCCTAGTGAGTTATGTACTCGGGAGCCTGCCTAAGCCTGCGCTGATAGAAACCACAACGACAATGCAGACGAGTATCTTGAAGTAATGGGACCAGGTAACTTTTGCATTAGAATGACTGCCGAACTTTCCATTTAGATAACTTTGTTAAGTACTGTTAAGTACTGGTGGCATGACGTATTGTGAGTCTGCATTTGTAAGTACCACCCTGTCTATTTCGGTTTGAAGGGTGGGGCAACTGTTGTACTGTAAAAACTGAGACCTTAGAACACGTGTTTCAAGGTAGGTGGTGACATTTACTTTGTTGATGTCTATGGGCTCCGGTAACCACTTAACATCAGGTGGGCCAAGAGCTGGTCCACCCACCTAAGCAATAAATTTCTTTTTTAATAAGTACTATTTTGGTGGGTAGTTCCACGTTCCAGCCAACATTCTGCTGTACCGTTAAATAAAAAGGCTAACGAAGAGAACCCTCAGACGCGATGCTGAGCTTCTCCCTAGGCCCGTACACATTACAACATGAACATCAGCATGTGCCACCCGCAAACCGATACAATTTTTGATTGCTTTGCATAAGAATCAAGCGAAACATGCTATAGCCATACTTCCCCATCGGCGCAATGAATCGTTTGCCAGCTGTTTTTAAAATTTTAATAATTACAATCCATGTAAAGTTTGAGTTCGATACAGTGAATCTATTGCAGTTAAGGAGGAGAAAGTCGTGATCCTAAACCATGAGGTTGAGTACGTGTAAGGTTCGTTACAACCGTAGTAAATTTCTGCCGCTAAGTCAGCGCGCATTCCGTTCTGATGAGAGCTCTAGTTAGAAAAACTAGTCTTTCCATTAGTAGTATTGTAAAAGGCTAGGACGGAATATCAAGACTGAGTGATAAGAGATTGTATGCAATACACAATTGCGAACATTAATCAACAGACAATATGCGTACATACAGGGTGGAGAAACAGTTTTCAAAAGCCGACACGAGAACAAAATAGGACACGTTTACCTAAAACAATATATATTTACTAAGGTAAACAAGAATACTCATTGAATTTGTAAATTCATTTGTGCCCATCAATCTATTGCGAAGATCGACTGATTTTTAATGTTACATTGCGTGTTATGAAATACAAAAGTAGCTGACTTAACCTAATAGGTGTATGGTTCTAATAAAGAATATAAATAAATAAAATACAAAAGTTATACAATGTACGTTTACGGCCCGTTTTTCTCATTAGCTAATTTGCGCAAAATCCTAGGTTATGGAGATTTATAGGATGCCCAAAGTTCCTCTCTTATCACAGACCAATCGGTTTCTTTTAGATAGCAATGTCAAATATTTCCTGCGCACTCGTTGTTAAGTCCTACTGGAGCCCATAACGTCCACAACGTAAATGCCGACGTTGACCCTGAGACACTCTTCAAACCAGGACACTTAACTACTCCACAGCAGAAATAGGCGTGACGGTGGTACTCGTGCAGGCAGGCTCGTAATTACCACCAGTAAATGCCGGTTGGAGATTGTCGCACCAGGTTATAATACTCAGCGAGAGCTGTCCATTCTCTGTTGAATTTCGAGTCATCTTTTACGACACTCAACAGCAAAAGATCGGGTGATGACATTCTAAGCCCAGAGACAGGGCCTATCAGTCAATATTTACTTACAATAATAATAGAAAAGTCGTCGTGGCCTAAAGGATAAGACGTCTGATGCATTCGTGTTGAGCGATGCACCGATGTTTTTTTTTTTTATTGCCTTTGTAGGCAGACAAGCATACGGCCCACCTGATGGTGAGTGGTTACCGTCGCCCATGGACTTCAGCAATGCCAAGGGCAGAGCCAAGCCGCTGCCTACCGCTTAATACTCTCCACAAGCCTCGTTTGAAGAAGGACATGTCATAGCGCTCGGGAAACACCGTGGAGGGGAGCTCATTCCATAGCCGGATGGTACGTAGCAAAAAAGATCTCTGGAAACGCACTGTGGATGACCGCAGTGGCTCCAGGTAGTATGGATGAACTCTACTCCGGTGGCGGGCGGTGCGATGGTAAAAATGAGACGTTGGTATCATCTCGAACAATTCCTCATAGCATTCCCCATGTAACATGCGGTACAAAATACAGAGGGAACCGAAGTCCCTCCGCATACCCAATGAATTTCTAATGAAATACGTACTCAACAAATGTTCACGATTGACTTCCACGGTGAAGGAATAACATCGTGTAATAAAAATTAAACCCGCAAAATTATAAATTGCGTAATTACAGGTGGTAGGACCTGTTGTGAGTCCGCGCAGGTAAGTACCACCACTCTGCCTATTTCTGCAGTGAAGCAGCAATGCGTTTTGGTTTGAAGGGTGGGACAGTCGTTGTAACTATACTTGAGACCTTAGAACTTATATCTCAAGGTGGGTGGCGCATTTACGTCGTAGATGTCTATAACCACTTAACACCAGGTGGGCTGTGAGCTCATCCACCCATCTAAGCAATAAAAAAAACAGACATTTTGTCGTTGTCCGAGAACACGGACCATAAAAATATATTCACTGACCTCAGGATGTTCAATGAAGTCTTCGATTTGATTCACGGCTTCTTTAAACGCAGCCGTCTTGCAGGATTTGATCAACTGCTCCTTAAACTCTTGGTACGGCTTGATGTTGATGTCTTCGATCCAAGCACTGGTTTTCATTGATTATTAGTTATAATATTGTACGTACATGGATAATTAGTCTATCTATTTATACTAATAATTAATGCTTAGAAGTGTGTCTGTATATTGTAGATGCTAAAAAAGATCACCGTGTAATGTTTATAATATCTAGATTTTATAATATCTTTTAAATCTTATAAATAGACTGAAACATAGGAATATTAATACATTAAATTTCTGTATGATTAAGAGAACCAAAGATTTGACAAAAGAAAATAGTATTAAATATAAATATAGTGAGCTTATTGAACAATCATTATTTATTTCGTAAACACTATAGATTGTTTAAGATAATTAGTTAGTACTAATGTATTATGTTAGTATTTACTTTAGTGTTTTCTAACGAGTTAAAACTAAGTTTACGATTTAATCGCGAGTTTCATATTTTCACTGTAAGTGATACATCCAAACTAAAGTATTGGAAACCTCGTAAATAACAAACTTGAAATTAAGTCTAAAAAAAATTAGTATACGTAAAAATACAATTTACAAACACATGAATGTTAACTTCTTAAAATTTAACTAAAGGTAATAAATTAAATTGTAAATAGAAAAAACTTAAAGTTGTTTTTTTTTTTTTTTTATTGCTTAGATGGATGGACGAGCTCACAGCCCACCTGGTGTTAAGTGGTTACTGGAGCCCATAGACATCTACAACGTAAATTGGCCACCCACCTCGAGATATAAGTTCTAAGATCTCAGTATATTGTACAGCAGTTTTATTTCAGCGAACTCTTACATAGCGTAAAGTGGGGGGGGGGGGAGGTTGCATTTTTGTAATTGTCGTTGCAATGGGGTAAATGTTCACTGTCGCTCACAAATCACCAATGCCATGGACACAACAACCATCTCATATTTTCTTTGAAATAGGGAATTTTCAGAGTTCATTCCAAAGTCGGATGGTACGTAGCAAAATAGATCTCTAGAAACGCATCGTAGTTAAACGAAGGAATTCCAGATAGCATGGATGAACTCTGCTTCGGTGACAAGCGACACGATGGTAAGAAGGACATGAAGGGATGTGCGTGCTGGATTTTACATACAAACTACCAGTCGCCTTAGCTCTTATTTAACTTGAAGCGTATGCATCACTAATTCTAATGGCTAATATTAGTGTTCTCGAGATCTAATACCATCGATCTGCTCATTCGCTTGCGATTTACAAATACATTTGAAAACTTCCGCAAATGATAAGTCTGCGCGCGGCCAAAATCGGAACTAATCGTGTGTCGCTATTTTTGTGCTCCGTGTTTTTATTAATTTTCTAAGTAATTAAAAAGGCTGATTTCTGATTAAATTCTGATTAAAAAGGCTATCAGGGATATTGTTTTGTAGCTAAAACCTGCTTGTGAAGAAGAACGAGACAAAAACGAGCCTGTGTCACCATTTAAGGTAATTTTTGGGGCTACCAACACATTAAAATTCCTGCATTATTTTCGATTTCTTGGATAATTATTCAATATGTAGTTCTCTTCATTTCTTATTAAAATAATATGATGCATTATTTTGTTTTAGGCATTTCCGAACGCCCCGTTACCCAAATCACTCGAGAAGGTAATGTAGCAGCAGTCTCATCTTCAAAAATTGTGACTCCAGGAAAAACAAGAAACAGGAAGAAAATGATTACTGAATTAGATGATTTTGATAAGTGCACTATAAGACATAAAATACATTTGTTTTATATCGTGAGGAGGGAAATCCCTACAATAAACAAACTTTGGTTGGAATTAAAAGCTGACATTGATCATAGATATGGCAAAACATCTTTAAGAAGCATCCTAAGGACTACAGGTTACAGTTTTAAGAAGTGCCAAGTCTAGTGTGACTTCTGATGAAAATGTCAGAATCGTAAGCATTGACTTATTACAGCAGCATTCCTATGTCAAATTTAAAAACACTGCAATATATTAAATAAACTAAACTATTAAACTAACTAAAATATTCCTATTGCGTTTTAATTTTCTTTTTTATATTATATCCTAAGAAATAACCTAGTACATCAACTGTATTTTGCTAATAAATCTCAATTACTTTTGGTTTGTAAAATAAGACATCATTTCATTACACGAAGGAATAAATATTAGTCAAGCTGGCAACATTATGCACGCCACCAGTCGCGCGCAGATTTATCTTGCGCGCACTCTAGCACTAATTCCCTATTAAACATCTTAGGACATTGCGTGCAAAATTTCAGGTTTCTAGATACACCAGTCTAAGCTACACGTTTTACGTCAATCAAGATGAGCTGTGAGTTCGTCCGTTCGCTTCTTCGTTCGTCAACGCTAAAAATAATCTATTTTTCTATACGTATCTATATCCTAAAGGTTACGGATCAAAATTTCGATTTGGCATCAAATTCAATCATTGAACTGGTCCATTCAGTTATACGTTGCAACCTCGAGTCGGAAGTCGCTTAGTCCTTGTACCAAAGGATATGCGCACGCACAAATTAGGATGTTCCGCTTGCACATCGGGCTTCTTAAGATTATTTTTAGTCTGCCGATGACCTTTGAAGTCATAGAATCAAATACGTGGAGGTTGATTTAGTCGTCCTCGTCGATAACAAATAAAACTAGAGTGAGAAAGTGATTTTTGATAATTGACTACAAAAATTTTACTAGATATCTCGAAAATTTACCAAATTCAATAATTTTTTGTCTTCACTATACCTTTACATTTGAAATTGTAAATCAGGGCGCACACTCATATGACCATCATTTTACACAGGATTTATGAAAATTTTAATTTTTAATAATTGCTACGATATGCCTTTCTTCAAACAAGGTTTGAGGACAGTGCTCAGTGGTAGGCAGCAGGTTGGCTGTGCCCCTGGCATTGCAGACGTCCATGAATGACGGTAACCACTCACCGTCAGGTTGTCTGTCAATGATGGCAAGAAAATAAATTCTCACTACAAATATAAAACTGGTTACCTCTTCTGCATTGCAATTTATGTTTGGTATTTCTAACATAAAGTGGATGCTTATATTTAAGTGGAATATCAGTACAGAATAATTTTTGATTCAGCCCAGTACATGTTATAATGCCACTAATAGTGCCGACAGTTGTGAATAGCAATTTTGATGTTCAGAGGTGGTTGTAGTGTGTGATTGGAAAAATGTACTAAGAAAATAACTCTAGTAATTACATGGAATATTTTTACCAATTTCCCAGTAACGTTAATAATACAGATAAATTTTGTTTGCAATATTTATCATCTATTTGATAGTTTTGAAAATTAACATATTGTTATTATAAATATTGTAGATTTCTTTATTACACTTAATGGCTAGACAAACATAAAGGCTACTTGGTGTACAGTGATTACTGAAGCCTACAAACACTCGAACACATAAAAAAACAACATGTTTCTTTTAATTTGCCTTGATCTATATAACTATTAACTCAATTAAATTTTAAATTTCATAAAACCTACAGTATACATTGAATGTTTGTAGTATATTCTGACTTGGATGTACTTAGAATATTGTAGGTCACCATTAATAACAGCAACCACTTTTTACTAGGTCGGTCATAAGCTCTGTCTTCATAAGCAATTACCTTAATAGTTGTGCTTCATGTTTGATCTTTATTTTGGAGCATTAAGTTCTACAACTAGTCATATTCTTACTATCTCATTAGTCTAGTACATCATCATCTTGGACAATATTGATATTCTTTACAATAAAATGAAATTTTAATGCATGTCACTAAGATATGACGGCTAAAATTTATCACTGTTCATTCCATACTCACTAGTTATTTGTACCAAAAAAGTAAATGCATTGTACGTTGGTGGCCTTCTTCGGCGTTCTTAGTTCAGGAGTGGGAACCGCTACCTGGAAATTATCAGGGATCATAGTTAGGTTATACATTTTATCATTTGAATCAAAACAAAATTTGAAACATCACCTGTACTGAAAACACGATTTATTCATTACGATAACTCGTATTAAATCGCTTTTGAAGAATTATTAAACGTCAGAAAGCTATCTTATTAATTTCCCGCCCATAATTATGTTATTTTGGTAACATGATTTTAAATGATAATTATCACTATTAGTGAAATTAATGTTATTAAGACAAAAGTATGGTCATGTTGTATCTATCAGTACAATTTTCTAACTTAATAGTTATGTGAAAGTAGAAAATAAATAGCATCTTACCCGGCCAGGCCAAGGACTGAAACCCTTCATTTTCGCCCTGAAACAAAGCCAGTACGCTATAGCATCACTGTATTACAACAAAAACATGAAAAAAACAAGATATGTACAATTTCAAATACATACCAAACTAAATCCCCAAGTTTATATCCTTCAGACATGATCTACGTGCACTACGAACGAATAACCAACACGAACTAAACCAGCGACAAAATTCAATTACAAACAGACGCGAAGCTTGTTGGCTTCACCACAGGACTATATAAAATATAGTCTCTTCTCTATGGCCGCTTTTCCGCTAATCCCAAAAACCTATTAAAAACACATAAAAATCTGATTTTTAATAATGACACACTTGGTTATTAAAATTCATCGTTTCTTTGCTTGCCTGATAAAAAGCTGATATCATTAAAGTAAAATATTGATTAAATAGTTTGGCTGAATGTTAAGGAAATCAGAGTCGCAAAAACGAAAAATAGGGTTGCGACTTTCATCATTATTCAAAAAATATTTATAGGAATAAAAAGCTAGCTCCAGTCCAGATCTAATAGATACAATAATAAATTACAACGAAGTTTTAGCATTTTCAAATAGCATATTTTTAGCATATTTTCAAATATCTTTTTCATTCTAAAAGTTACTAGAATCCCTTACAAGGATTCCAATGCCTGTCTCCTCATTCTTTCAGGAATTAAATATTTAGTTTGTTTTTAGTTATGTAGTGATATGGTTTTAGAATATTTAGTTGTAAATATTTCTGATAGTCTTCCCTTAAATACAATTGGTATAAAAAATCTTGGTGAAATAAAAGACTTTTCATACAAATTATGACCTAACTATATAGTTTCTCTTGAATCTTATAACTCTATTTTACCTTAAAAAAACCGTAATCAATTTTCCTTTTTTTTATTGCTTCGATGGGTGGACGAGCTCACAGGCCATCAGGTGTTAAGTGGTTACTGGAGCCCATAGACATCTACAAAATGTGTAAAATGCGCCACCCACCTTGAGATAAAAGTTCTAAGGTCTCAGTATAGTTACAACGGCTATCCCACCCTTCAAACCGAAACGCATTACTGCTTCACGGCTGAATCGTGCAGGGTGGTGGTATCTACCCGCGCGGACTCACAAGAGGTCCTACCACCAGTAATTACGCAAATTATAATTTTGCGGGTTTTATACCATAAATAATTATACTTTTTCCTCATTACTAATTCTCAATCTACTTTTTAATAAGAAATCTATTAAGATTTTCTGAATTTTCACACCTCTACTTTTAGTAGCGTCCCTACGAGTTTACTAATACTTTACGGCATGTAAGTAAGTTTGGTTTGTATCTATTTTCTTCAGTCATCAACTATTTTTATTTAGATTAGTTAATAATAATTAGTATATATGTACATATATACAAGAATGGTATTAGTAGTAATTTATCTTCTTAATTTATATAAGCTCGTGGCCAATCTAATACTAAATGAATATTAAAACCTATTCATATTACAGTGGCTTTGACAACCTAATAGAAATAAACAACGCTTACATTTAGAGATACCATCACTGGAGACATAAAATGCAGTAATTGTTTTTTACTTCAATTAAATTATTTATTCATTGTTATCGTTCGGGTCGTGATTAGTCGTGAACACAATGCTAGGTATCTAATAAAGTAATAGAAATATTAGTACCACCCAAGAGCTTGGATGTCGTCAGAATCAAATAACTAGATAGGAGAACACATAGCTGACCATTGTCTCTACTTTTAATGGAAATTTATTAGAAATTGTGGTTTCGTTACGTTGCGTTATTCATAGTTTCTATTTATCCCTATTTATATCTCATTTGACATTTGACAATTCTTGACTTGCCAACCGACAACCGGAATTACCAGGTTCCGTCAAAATTCAAAGTAAAAAATAAGATGATAAACATAGTGTTTAAAATTTTTTAATTGCAATGCGCGCAGACACATTTAAATAATTAAATAATCTATCTAATAATAAAATAATTAACAAAAAAAATGTCTAAAAGATATTTCCAGCAGAATTATGGAGAGAGAAAAAAAGCTAAATTGGACTGGAGCACAACTGATCATAACTTTCCTATGAGTCAAAATACATCCGTAAAAGGTATAATAAATTCGTTAAAGATATAGTAAATTCTCATAAATAAAGTCATGACAGAAATACCATAAAATACTAATGAAAATCTTGTCTTTATCATCGGAAATAAAATAACTTGTTTTGTACAATAATAATGATCTTAAACGTTAATATCTTCAGATACACAATTTACACAATCAAACTCTTGGGGTAACGAGGAAGATGACGAAATGCTACTCATGGCCAGTCAGGTCTGTGAAAATGCCTGCAACGATAGCCAACTTCCCAACTATAGTATGTTTATACCGCCAGCTTCAACTAGCACACAGCTTCCACAGCCAAGCACTTCCAAAAACATATTCAAAACCCCAACATTGAATCCCACGAATTCAATATCTACACAATTAAAAGAAAAGTGCAACAGAATTTCATCCCCATTACCAGGCATAGCAAATAAACTAATGAAAGATAACTTGCAAGTGAATGTACCTGACAATTTAATTATGAATGACAAGATATACGAGAAACAGGATTCTGAAACTATTTATAAGCAGTTACTTCAACTACAAGAGGAAAATGTCAAATTGAAATCTGAAAATGGAAAATTAATTGAAAAATGTGTAACTAAAGAAGGTGAAGCCTCAATACTAAGGACTCAGCTAAAAAGTATTCAAGTTGCCGCTGACAGTGCCAGGCTAGAGAAAATGAATGTGCAAGAAAAACTGCAGATGGAGTGGACGGAGAAAATAAATGCTATTAACAATCAGATGCATGATTTAAGGACCCAATTAGATTTTAAGGTTCGTATATGACAAATGATTCTGATTCTGTTCAATTTGCAATGAAATACAACAATTTTGTTTTATCAGTATGATAGTTTTTACTGTTTTTAATTAGATAAAAAAAAACTATTTTTGTATCAATATACAAATTCTCAATAACTTTACATTAGGAAAAATTTAAGCAACCGCTTAGATGCTATTTTTTTCCTACCTATTCATTGGTAGCCTAAGGGGCCCACCAAGCTATGCGTAGACGGGCTCACTGACCCCGCTGAGAGAATTTTCTAACACTAGAGCTAGTGCAGATGCAAGAGCAGTGCTTTGCAGAGCCTACCACAGGATTGGAATCGAGGCTCACTGAGAAAGTCCAGCGAGAAACTCAGGGATGTGGCTTTAGGTTAGTTCACTCGTTGAAATTATAATCAACGAGTTCAGTGAGGACAGTGGCCAGGCCCTCCAAAAGCCTAAACACACCAAGTAGAGAGAGAGAGTGGATCCAGGGATACAACATGTTTCGGACGACAGCGACTTTGCTTTGTCCCATCTTCTGGATCGATCACGCAAATAGCCTCAGACACAATATGAGGTTATTGTGTCACGCCGCTTTGTCGAAGTTCCCTTCTGACACTACCTAAAGGTACTTATGTATCGGTTCTAACTTTAGATCTTTGTGAAGGGCGACATTCCATGCATACCACGGTGCTCCGACGACTATCCTGCAGAAACGGGATTGGACGAGACCTGGAGAGAGTTGATGTGTGTACGGGTCGCGTGAGCGAACACTTGCATAAGTCATGACAAAACGTATACAAGTTTTGTAGAGCCTCCTTCTTACGAAGGGACAATTTACTTCGCTCGCAGATCGTAGGGTACGGTCGACCAAGTAGGCTCTGTTGCGTACGGACTTAATCTGTGGGGACCGAAAGTCGAGCGTCTATCGAGGGTGACACCTAGGCCCTTCGTGGTCCACGGTATGGGCTGGCCAAAGATTTTAATGGCCGGAATGAAGTTGCCGCGCCTAATTCGTGACGAGATACTAGTACTGGTGTCGGTAGAGCAAACCTTTTTGAAGAGCACGGCTTTGCTTTTCGTGGGATTGATGTCGATGCGCCACTTCTGGAACCACTGTCGTAAATTGGTGGTTGCAGTCTGGTGCTTACTATGCATGAAAGGCATCTTCCTATCCGAGTAATAGATAGCCGTGTCATCCGCGAAAGGGGCTAACTACTACTGCGCTGGTGCTATGACCCCGAAGTGGGCCTTGGCCTCCGACAATAAACTTTGTCATTCATCCCGGAGCTGCGCAACACCTTATCCGTCTGGCACTTGGAACTCACGAAAATTTCCTTGCACAACGTCAGACCAGCGGTACTTGGGCCTCCCTACGGGGCGGCGTCCCGCCGGTACACTGTTTTTTTTTTGTTTTTTTTTTATTGCTTGAATGACCAACTTGATGAGACCAACATGATCATTACTTGGTTAGGTAAAATTAAAAAAACGCAGTTATGTATTTCGTGGGACCCGGGAGCTTTCTGTGATTGTATGTTCGCGATTTCTTCCTTAATTTTGTTAACGGTACTGGGGAGTAACGCGTCTGAGGGCGGCAGGGAAGCTCTACGCTCAACCTCCCTGTCGATCAACTCGGTGTTATCGGGGTCCGCGGCTTGAGCCCTGCTGGTACACTGCTCTTGCAATCACCGAATCGTCATTAAAAGCTGGGGTTGGCTTGAGGGGCGTACGAGAGGAAGCATAGTGGTCTTGGGCTTCCGATAAGAGTCCTAGATAGACAGACGCCAATATGCTTGGTGACAGGGCGAGCGTCCTTCTAAATAATTTCCCTACATCGTTTTACGGGTTTCGTCTAGGCGAGATTTAAGGTCCCGCTGTAGACAACGCATTCTGATCTGGGTTGATTCTGTGAAATAACGATCGCAAGTCCGGATTAACGCTTTTATAACTTTTACGAGATTCCTGAGCTCGGACATTCTGATTGTACCCGCTATAGTGATGAATGTTTGTTCACAGAACCTCGAGATAATTAATGCTAAGGACAGATGTAAAAAATTAGAATCGAACAAGCTCAACTTAACACAAGTTACTATTTCAAATAATGCATTAAGGTAATCATTTATTTTGACGTAAACAATAATATTGATGTTACCAAAAAACTACCCATAACTAATTTGATTACTTTTTAATGATTTTTTTTTATTGTAAAGGTAATGAGATAATGTAATAAATAATTATATTTNATAGTGATGAATGTTTGTTCACAGAACCTCGAGATAATTAATGCTAAGGAGAGATGTAAAAAATTAGAATCGAACAAGCTCAACTTAACACAAGTTACTATTTCAAATAATGCATTAAGGTAATCATTTATTTTGACGTAAACAATAATATTGATGTTACCAAAAAACTACCCATAACTAATTTGATTACTTTTTAATGATTTTTTTTTTATTGTAAAGGTAATGAGATAATGTAATAAATAATTATATTTCTAAGGACATAAAAAGAATGAATTTATTTTTTACTATAGAATAATTGAAATACCAATGAACAAATCAGGTTCTTATAAAATATAATTAGTATTCATTTTTAGCCACACCTCAAAAACCAACGGAGTCAATTCCTCTTTAACTCAAAGCAAAAAAGTCAAGATGGTCTCTGACATAACGCAAACCGAGAGAAAACTACACTTCCTGAAGCTACCAAAGAGAATACCTACAGGTTAAAAGTATAAGACAAAACACTTTAAGACGTAGCTATTTAAAGCCATCGAACCATTAAATAAATTACCTTTTTCTGTGAAATATACATTAAGCAAACCCTAATCACAATGTGAGTTCACAACACAATAATTAAAATTACTTTAATGGTTTAATATCACTTGGGTTGTTTTAATCAAATTGTTTTGAACTTTTCTAATAATTGCAGTTTTCATGGTCACTCAAGACTACGTTTTTAATCGTAAACATTTGAATATTTATTTGACTATTATTGGTGGTAGGACCTCTTGTGAGTCCGCGCGGGTAGGTACCACCACCCTGCCTATTTCTGCCGTAAAGCAGTAATGTGTTTCGGTTTGAAGGGTGGGGCAGCCGTTGTAACTATACGTGAGACCTTAGAACTTATATCTCAAGGTGGGTGGCTCCTCCCACGACATGCCCATGACGCCTAGCTCCCCACCGACCGAGGGCAAGTTGTTCTGGGGCTGCTCTCTTCTAGATAGAATCTAGAGTAGGGCTTATTATGACGCCGCACGAGTAGGTACCATGTAGTCTACTTTTGCCGCAAAACTACATAAACCTTATGTCTCAAAAGGCTTTAAAGTAAACAATTGATATATTAAGAAGAAGGAGAGGTATATATAGAGGAAGAGGTAGACTTAAGGAAAAATGAATGGATTGCGTGAAAGACGATATGTGTAAGAAGGAAGTGAGCGAAAAAATTGTATATGATAGAGGAGTATGGAAGGAGAAAGCATGTTGTGCCGACCCCAGGTGACTGGATGAAGGGCAGGAGAATGATGATGATGAACTGATATACTGAGCGACTCTTCGAAGAATTAAAAATTAACGTTACAACTATTGTTTTAAGCTTCATCAAAGCTGAGTCACATACTGCCACTCATTATTCAACCAACGGTGAAGAAGCCTTCGATACTGGAATACAATGAGAACTTAAGGAGGTGTCCGGAGACCGCGGCCCAGTGTGGAATGCTCGGCACGTCCCTTGGTATCCCGTCCGGGCAGACCCTCGAACGAAGTGCGAGGAGGACAAATCTTCAGAGCATTTACGAGGATATATGTAGTATCGCAGTCGGGACCGCCGATGAAAATAATTATTATAAGGTGAGGGATAAATGTTTCCAGTGTGCTTAGTGGAGTCCGCGTCCGCGCGGGTGGGTGCCACCACTCTGCTTGTTTCTACCGTGAAGCAGTAATGCGTTTCGGTTTCCATCATGACCATGATTGATGATTGATATGACCAATAATATCCGCGCTGTACAGAATAAATAGCAATGGGCCCAGAATCAAACCCTGTGATACACCATTAATGACGTTAGCCATGTTGGATTGAACATTACCCTCACCGCGAGGAATTCCATACAAGTATGTGCTAACTTTTACGCTATCGAGAACGTTAAAAGACTCGCACTGAGCACACTGTTTAGGACGAAAAGTAGTTCGTCACTGACTCACATTGAATAAATAAATTACTTCCAATTTTTTTTATTTCTGACGTTACTGTCAATTCACGGATGAGGAAGGTCTAGTTTTAAATGTCCGTGCTCACAGGTATTCGAAACAATAAAACTAATATTGCACGAGACACGGCAGCGCCTGGTCTCCATATCGCGCAGGATGACGAAAGCCTTTCAGAAGGAGATCGACGAGAGGTACGCGGAGAGCGCCTCGACCTTCGTGCATGTCGACAGGGAACAGTTGTTGTCCAGCACGTGAGGAATCTTCATAACTAAAGATATAATTATATTCGTGGGACAGCTGGTCTGTGTGCTTAGTGCGAGTTTTTTAACGCTCTCGATAGCGTAAAAGTTAACACAAATTTGTATGCAGTTGGAACAGCGCCCCTAGCGGCAAACGTACGTAAATGTTCCAACTCCATACAAAATCGAGTTAACTTTTACGCTATCGAGAGCGTTAAAAAACTCACACTAAGCAAACTGGTCCTTATTGAGACCTCGTTTCTAGTGCTCGCGGGCCGCACAGGGCGATGTCCCTGGACTCCGGTAACTTAATACCAGGTGGGCCGAGAGCTCGCATGTCAGATAATACATGTTCAATTCACAAGTGAAACATTCAGAAGTATTCTATTGCATTCTCTCGCAGGCTAAATCTATTTATATATGTGTATGTTTGTCTCTTTTTAGCAGACGTCATTTATTGTGGTCGCATTTCCAATTATTAAGCGAACACTTTTATTACACAGAATAGTGACTTTTGCGCTTCTGATCTCGAGGATTCGTATCACAATGTTTCAAGTACATTGACGACTTGAAATTTAATAACGAATAGTTTTGAAGTCCACGTGATACAAGTTGAATTTTCAACTTATTGAAGTGAAACTTCTTTAGAATCGTTGTGATTTCAAACCCGATGAAACGAAAAAATAAGTCCATAGAGACACAAACACATAAATGTATAGGATTCAGCCGGCGAGAGAATGAGATAGAACACATTAGACATTCTCGGTCTCCTCTTTGTGCGACTCTACGTAGCATCCCCACTATCGTCCACTAAACATTGTCCATATGTATGTTCCTGTGTAGTGGGATAGTCAGTATATCTATATCTTATTTATTATAAGTTTCACTTCTACCGTGTGTGACTTGCACACACACATTCTGGTTTTTCCACTCTTGGAATCATTAAAATAAATGGCACAATGCAGTGAGCTGTACCGGGACGAGCAGGACATAGAGGCGCGGCGGGCGGCGGGGGCGCTGGGGTACGTGCGGGGCGCGCGGGGGGCGGGGGACGGGCTGCTGGCCCAGCTCCACGAGATATGCTCTCTTATACAAAAATCTGTAAGTTTCTATTCCTCAGAATTATTTCTTCTTCAATTCAAGAAAATATAAAACATTTTTTTTTAATTCTTTTTTAAATAGCTTTGGATGGGCTATTACTGCTGAGATGGCTCGTGGTTAACAGAGGCTTAATTAAAGCGTATATGAAACCAGCCACACGGACTCTTGCGGTTCACGGACTATTGTCCTGGTCCCGGCCTTCATATTGGCACACGGGGCTGCTTATCGGCAGAATACTGGTACTTGCCGGAGGGTTGCATCTAGGACACACTGACATTAAAAAATATACAATTGAAAATGGTCGGCCTGCTTAAATACTGAGAGCCAGGTAGGCAGGCATTACATGCGGTAGGATCTCTTCTGAGTCCGCGCGGGTAAGTAACACCACCCTGCCTATTTCTGCCGTGAAGCAGTAATACGTTTCGGCTTGAAGCGCGGGGCAGCCGTTGTAACTATACTTGAAACCTTAGAACTTATATCTCAAGATGGGTGGCGCATTTACGTTGTAGATGTCTATGGGCTGCAGTAAGCACTCTGTTGCAGCACTGCGCGGTGCCGCACGCCGGGGTGCTTCTGGCCGCGGCGCAGGCCTCCGCCGAGCCCGGCGCGGAGGCGCGGGCGGCGCGGGGCGTCCTCACCGCTATAATAAGGGCGAAGCCGCCGCCCGCCGTGTCCCGCGCCACACTACGGGCGGCCGCGCGACTGGCGCACCGGGGCGGACTTGCAGGCGCCCTCTGTCCCGGGACGAGCCCGGAGAAGTCGGAACAAGAGCGGGACCAAGGTACGCAGCATATCGACGCTAGAGGCAAACGTGACTAAGCGACAATAACTGATTTGTACATAAATGATAGGCAATAACCATATTCGATGCGCAAAAAATATATATTTCTAGGTCTATTAAAATCATTTCAATCCTACAGCTAGATTCGTTAAAAATAATTTTTGTTCAGGTATTTCAACTTTAAATTAGTCTACTGTAAAGTTCACTCATCGTCGCTTACACCCGTATCTTTAGTCGTTCACACGAGCTTAACTCGACTCGACTCAACCTCCAACGCGCGTTTTGGTATGATTAGTCGTAAAAATAAACTCCACTCAAACGTCCTTGGAAATATTTCCTAACCGGAGTGAAGTGAGGGAACTGTCAAGTCAAGGTACGTCGCGACGTACCTTGAACGTTCCTCAAAACAGCGTTTAATACAAGATGACTTCTGAGAGCAGTTTTGAAGAATTTATTAACTATATTTTTGATAGCAGAGTGTATAATTATCCGTCGCGTAGGTATTTGAGAGATGCAGATAACCCGTTGGAAGTTTACGATGACGACGAATTCCGAAAACGTTACCGGCTTAGCAAAGATTCGGTTGTGCATATTTTGCTGCCTTTGTTGACTAACAACATTAATGAAAACGATCGTGGACTACCTTTAACGCCGATATTACAAGTGCTAATTGCTTTGAGATTTTACGCAACAGGCAATTTTCAGGTTCGTGCNAAAAATGTACCTCTGTTAAGCCCCAATAAGAAACTCCCAACCATACCATGAGCGAGGATGGAAAATGACCTCGTTGGACACGCGGAATACGGTTGCTCGCTTCTTCACTACTGTGTGCGTACACCTTATCATTTTGTTTGTTGTAGCTCTCTTCTACGGTAAAAAATTTTTCATCCGAAAAAATAATTTCCCGATATTTTTTTCCCGCGTACCGCTTCAACAAAGCGCAGCATCTCTTCAGTGTCAGGTCCATTAGACGAGCATTCAAACGATGTCCTGTTTTTCTTCGATATGCCCGAAGCCTTAAGTCTTCATTTAACACCCTTTTCACCGTGGTTCTGCTTAACCCCATCTGAAGGGCCAACAGTTTCTGCTTACGTTTGAGATTTCTTTGAATTCGCGCCTTCATAGCTTTTATCACTGCTGGAGTCCTAACAGACCGAGGGCGACCACTTCTTGACCTGTCATCTACACTAGAGTCTTCATTGTATCGTTTGATGGTACGATAAACGAATCTTTTGGTTATATACAAATTTTTCAGTATGTTAAAAATTTGAATTGGCGCGTAACCGCAACGATGCAACGCAATAACTGCAACACGGTCTTCTTTAAGCGTCCACTCCATATTTAAAAATTATTAAAAATTCTAAAAGTATACATTTTTATTTTCATGAACAATTCGAAATTCGAATTCAATAAACTTTTTTGTGGCCAGCATTCTAAAAGAAAAGTTTTTACTGTGTGACAATACTTATGACCTGACTAGGTATATATTCCGTTAAACACAATATGAAATCACCATTTTTTTTTATTGCTTACATGAGTGGACGAGCTCACAGCCCACCTGGTGCTAAGTAGTCACTGGAGTCCATAGACATCCACAACGTAAATGCGCCACCCACCTTGAGATATATAAGTTCTAAGGTCTCAAGAACAGTTACAACGGCTGCCCCACCCTTCAAACCGCAACGCATTGCTGCTTCACGGCAGAAATAGGCAGGGCGGTGGTACCTACCCGTGCGAACTCACAAAAGATCCTACCACCAGTATCAGCTCATTAACTGATACACAACGGAAGTCGACACCCTGAGCCGGTCCTCTGCCCACAGACCGTGCGTGGGAGGAGTTGATGGCGGCGTGTCGCTGCGGCGTGCAGATGCTGTACCAGTGCTCGATGCGGGACGCGGACTTCGCCGCGCTCCTCAAGCACAACGAGGGACACCTCATTCAGTTCTGCGAGATCCTGAAGGACTACCCGCACAGCGAAGTCCACTGTGAGTGCTCCGCAACCCCCCGGGACCGCCGTCCCGTACGGATACCAATAGTAGTAGTAGTAGTAGTTTTATTTTTCCAAATGGAAAGACAACGGCATCATACCATGCAGCCTAATCTTTTATATATATTTTTATTTTATCAAATATGATACTATGAAATGAAATAAGATAATATAATATGGGATGTTTTTATGGAAAATGATAATATGTAGTGAAATGAAATGAAGATGACTAATTTGAGACATTAATCAACTGTGATGAAATTAAATGAAATGATATGAGATTATATAATCTCAGTAAAATGGTGGTCATTTACTGAGATTTTTCAGTGGGCTTTTTGGAGGATCCCGAGAAGTTACGTCCAGCGGCTTTGTTTAACTTTCCCACATTTGTGCATTTTCACAGATATTAAACAGTCAATAAACCACCGTTATTACACATTTAAACCTGAAGAAACACTAAATGGACAAAACAAAACAAATCACACAACTTCGCTCCTCGCGTTCTCGCCAAAAAGTCGATACCAATAGTCTTCTTCTTCTTTAGTTTTTGACTCCGAATAAGATTTTTATAATTCGCCGTTTTAATTATTTACAGTTTATGAATAATAAAAAACGAAGGAAAAAAAATTGCGACATAAAATAAATGATTAAAAACGAATTTAATTTACAAATGAATTGAATGATATGTGATGAAATATAATCTTTATTTTTTTATTGCCCAAAAACCTCAAAATGGTCGTCATTTACTGAGATTTTTCAACTTCGCTTCTCGCTTTCCCACCAAAAAGCTATGTACCAATAGTCAATTATTTATATTGATTACATATTATTAATTACATTATATCTTTTCTTTTTATCTTATCAACTAATATTTTTCGACACCAAAGACATACGATCGAATATCCATGATATCAATTTTACAAGAGAACGTGAATTCGAACGTAACGTTACGAACGTAAATTTAATTTTGACATGTTTTGAAAGAAACCGCAAATTTACGATTCGGTATAAAAGCGATTGTAGCAAATAGTGGATACGACCTTATGCTTCTCAGATTAAAGATCACATTCAAAATATCATATCACGTTCCAGCCAGCATGCTCTCGGAACTGTCGCTGCCGCTGCAGGCCGCGCCGCCCCACGCGCCCCCCTCCTTCCACAACACGCCCTGGCTGGACAGCTTCAAAGACTTCACCATATCAGATTAAATAAACACGGTGGGGGAGCACACGCCGCCTACACGGATAGCAAGAGTAGCAAGCCACTGCATGGACGACGCCAAGATCTTAATGCCAATGATATTTTGCGAGTCGTCGTGGCCTAAAGGATAAGACGTCCGGTGCATTCGTATGTAGCGATGCACCGGTGTTCGAATCCCGCATTACCATTGTTTTCTAATGAAATATGTACCTAACAAATGTCCACGATAAGCTTCCACAGTGAAGGCATAACATCGTGTAATAAAAATCAAACAAAATTATAATTTGTGTAATGACTGGTGGTAGGACCTCTTGAGTCCGCGCGGGTAGGTACCACCACTCTTGCCTATTTCTGCCGCAAAGCAGTAATGCATTTAGAGACCTTAGAACTCATGTTTTAAGGTGGGTGGCGACATTAACATGGTTGATGTCTATAGACTCTGGTGACTATTTAACATGTGGGCTGTGAGCTCGTCCATACATTTAAGCAATAAAAAATGGGCGTATGACAGTAGGGCGTGCCTGTCCGTGAGTAGTGACAATATCAAATTCCCTTGACCAATATGTTTTGTGACTATCAAAACGTACAGATTATCATTGGATGTTTTTAAAACTATGGTTCGTGAGGTGGCGTTGCGACTTGTAAGTATGCCACCAGACTTGTGATAACTTCATGTAACTCCCAACGACGTATTCAAACATATACAATGTTACTTATTAAACATTTATTATTGTTGTTGTTAATTTGTGATTTTTTCTTAATTAAACACAGTAACAGATAAATAAATAAAAAAACTTCACCTAACAGCCTATAATTGCAACTGTGCTATATTCAGTAATGTATTTTTATACAATCACAATCACATAATTAAGTTTAATTTGACAAATGGGAGTCGCAGCGACGGCTTTTGAACTTCTAATGTACCTAACGCGCGTTCGGTACCTACATACTAATATATCAACTCTCTGTTATAATTTAAACATGTAATAAATATAAATATTTTAGGCTGGATTCCGATATGATCCAATGATATGTTCAACAATTAATGAAAATCCACCTTAATTTATTTGTTCTTTTTAAGTTTTCAAACGAAACGTCATGTTTTTAATAATTTTGTTTTGAATAAAACGAATTTGTTTATAATAATATTTTTTATTTCTTGCATAATAATGTTAGTAAACTTACATTTTTCTAGGAATGTGAAAAAAAATGAATAGAATATATCACAATAATTCTATATAATAAATAAGAAATATATTTTAAGACAGTAAAATCAAGAAACTGATTTCCTGTTTAATAAACTTGTCATTATAGAACGCAAAAGATTTAATTAATTTATTGGCTTTAGTCATGCTGTATGTTAATACTTTTTTTTTTATTGCCCTTGTAGACAAACGAGCATACGGCCCACCTGACGGTGAGTGGTTACCGTCGCCCATGGACTTCAGCAATGCCAGGGGCAGAGCCAAGCCGCTGCCTACCGCTATCAATGTACTTAATTAAAAATATAATTATTCATTATGTATGTAAATGTCTTGGAGAAGTTACAAATTATGGAGCTATAGTAGCCACTGACGGTGTCACTGGCACGCCAGGAGCGCTTACTGCGTTTGGTCCGTGAAAGAAGTATAACATAAAACCAGTTGCCAACAAGAAATGAAAAGCAAGAATAGATCCGACAAGTATATAAAAATACTTTGATTTCTTCAAAGCTGGCAGCAGCCAGAATATGAGGACTGCTCCGGAGACAAAGGCAGCCATCAACACAAACAACCACTGAAGCCAAGAGATCTGGATGGTCCAGAATATAGCCACAGGGATGTAAATGGAAAGCGAATAACCATATAAACAGAAGAGAGATATCATAGTTGGAGAGTTTGAGGTCTGAAAAAAAAAAAATTTTAACGGAGCTGTTATGTGCCTAAAATTACTACTATCATAAACATATTTCAAGATGAACAATGGGGATATGTTTATATACCATTAGATGTATCAACGTCTAGTTTTAAATATATAAAAAATTACTGGTTGTAGGACCTCTTTGAGTCCACACGGATAGGTACCACCACCCTGCCTATTTCAGTCGTGAAGCAGTAACTTATTTATTTATTGTTAACATAGAAGTAAAAACACAATCATAATTTGCATCTGTGCTTGAACTAAGTGATAAAACCTGTATCTCAAGCAGCAGTGCTCCTTGTGCAAAGAATACAACAGTTTTATTTCAAATACACAAAAATAGATGCATGGAGGGGCAGCAAAAAAAAAATACGAACCTGCGTCTCAATCTCATCTTGTCCATCGGGAAGCGTAGTCCATTTCAAGACACCCCACAGTGCCAGAGGGACCAACCAAACGTAACATACTATGGCTGTTGCTGCGTAAGACACCAAATGAAAATCATAGCGCCAATGGACTGCCTTGTTAACATTCTGTAGATAACTTGCTATGTTCCCGCTCACGGCAATTGTGAAGATCTATAAGAAAAAATGTTAAATTTTTTTTGAGATTGTGTATAAATGAAACAAGCATAATTTTTTAAACAACAAGTTTGATTTTTAAGTTGTTTTCTACAAAACTTCATTGATTAGTTAAAATTAAAATAAAGTTATGGAATGAGAAATAAAAAACTTTTACTGCAGAACTACAAATTTAATAATACTCGTTAAATTATAATATAAATTCTATCAAATTAATAATTACATAACAAGGACAAAAACGATATATGAAGTGTATGTTTAACAATAAAAAGAAAAGAAAAAAACTTCAAATGATCTAGTGCCTCCGCTAACCACTCCACAAGCTGTGACTGGGTTTGTTCACCTATGTATTAATATTAATAAATAGTAACAGAAAAATCGGAAGTTCTTCTTTTTTTGAAACTAAAACTATCACATAAAATTATAATTTTAAAGAAGAATAGTAATAACTCTGAAACTTTTCAAAAGGTTGGATTTTATTAGTCAGACTTAGAAAAATGAATAGTTTAAAATATTGTTACTTTTTTCGATTTTTTTAAATTAAAAAAGCTTGCGGTAGACAGCGGCTTGGCTCTGCCCCTGACATTGCTGAAGTCCATGGGCGACGGTAATCACTCACCATCAGGTGGGTTGTATGCTTGTCTGCAAGGGCAATAAAAAAAAACTGTCTTAAATGTAATAAACTTTATCAACTCTGATAAACAAAAACATTTTAACAGTTTAATTTTATAGGTACTTTTTTCGAAACTAAGACAGCGAATAAATAGCGTCCGTGAATTGATTACCAGTCGTAGAGCATTGTACAATGATATTCTTGTCTTATCTTATCAGCTAAAATGATCTGGAATCGTGCCTACTTTTAATAATAAAAAAACCAAAGGTAAAACACATAATAGTAAAAACTGTAACTTTTTTTGTTTATGAAGATAAACATTATCATTGAACTATTTTAAAGCATTTCCTTGTTACTTATGTGATGATAACATCAATATAATATTGCTTCATGTTATCTTAAAAAATAACTTGTTAATTGATTTAAATTTGTGTAAATAAAAGCACCAGTAATTCTCAATGAGAAAATTTCTAGAACTGTGTGTGCTAGACACTTAAAGCTCGAATAAATGTTCTTGAAGTGAGAACTGGGTGGTAGTGTCTTGTGAATCTATGCGGATAGGTAGCACTACCCTGCCTATATCTGCATTTTATATTAAAACATAAAAGCCATAAGACAATTGAGAAAGCACACTGTAAGATTTCAGAAGTTTTCATATCAATGCAAAATATGGTTAAAAAATATAAAAATCACAGCCATCAGTGCCACATATACAGCACTAGCAATTTAACACTACATTATACTTATAGATGTACCTATACAACATGTAATTTCCTGATCTATGCCTAAATGAATAATAAATGTGGAAATTTGGTAAATTTCATAAACCTCATCAGTTGTAGTCAAGATTAAACTACTTTAAAAAACTGTAATGGAAACTTTAGTTACTGTAAAATAAGATTGAAGGTAAGATTACTCTAAAAAAAGTAATATTTTGTTTGGATCTTGGTAACAGTGATGACAGTTGCCACTTAGGCCTGTGGAACCCGGGCTTAGAGTGCATGAGGAGCGGCAAAAATTTTTAAATGTCAGAATTTCAGAGACAAAAAGTAGACAGTCTCCTTTGAAAATAAGTTCAGTTATTTTTTATTTTTCTTTTTTTATTATTATTTTTTAAATTTAAATTAAAAATATTGGATGAATATTAATAAGATTTATTCTAGCATTGAGAGCAGCGTAATAAACAGGGCTTAGGGCGGCATCAAGCCTAAATTCATCACTGGTTGCAAATCACATACATTTTAATATTTGGATTTTTATTGTTATTTTATTATGAAGGATGATGGTGGGCATCCATAACGACAAAAATTGTAAACTATTTAAAAGTATTTCATTAAAACTAAGAGTTTTAATCACACACGCAAACGAGATTAATGTAAATATAAATTATAAAGTCAGACTATCATACATATTTAATACACTAAGGAATACCATTTAACAAAATGTAATTGAAAATGTATAGGACTACAAAATTGCCTTTCAGAATTTATATTTCTTGTTTTGGTTTATATAATTTAGCTGAATATTGAGCCTCATCAATTAACACAGATTTAAGGTGCCCATTACCAGAGTCAATGAAATCCAGATAGGTCCATACAAGTCGGGTTTGCCTTTTATCTTCTCATCAAAATAGTTTCTAGAGACTTTCTGGGGCAATACTGATGATATAATCCTCTCCACAACTTCACTGGTCTGCACATCAAAGTATTTCTGATAATACTCGATTGTCCAGAAGTTGTGATTCGCTAAAATAATAAATACTTATTTATTAAATATATTACAAATGCCTAAATCAACAAGTTTTATTTTACTGTACAGTACTTTGAAAATGTTTATTCTTTAGATATATTTACAGAAAAGACTGCACAGCATACAGCTGGAGAAAAAGCAATGAAATAATGTTTTAGTACTAGCTTCGAAGATTTCGATTTCTAGAAAAAAAACCAAATTCTTACATTGAGGTTGAGTCTCTGCTTCTGGAACAGCTCCGGGCGTTTCGTCAAAGGAGTAATTTTGATTAGAAATATTACTATTATTGTATTGATTTGTATGTACTGCCTCGACATCAATACGCGCAGTTCGCTCATTGTGTTCCGGGGAATAGTCCTGGAAATTTAACAACTCGCCCGTATGGACGTTGGACATGATGACCGGTCACTTAGAATGTTTTCTTAAAATAATTTTATTAGAAAAACGAAATCAAACAAATTTTAGAAAATTTCACTGTACAATATTGGCTTGTCAAAATGTTAACGTCGTACATTAAATTCCAAGTTATTGCAAAAGTATAAAAATCGATATTGTTTCAGACCAAGAAACGAAACTTTACAATTAATTTATGCTTTAATATTTAGGTACTCTTAAAATTCATTAAAGTTGCTTTTGAATCACTTGTAGGTACGATTCCTAATTTCTTTACACTATTCACGTGCCATCTATCGTACATCAACGGAACTATAATCTGGGGATGTCAGCAAAATATTTAAATAGAGTATCTGACAGTATCTGTTATTTGGTGTGTTTATTAAGTAAGAAGAGACGATTGATATGTCCAATATACTTTTTATTGAAATTATTATCAAGTCAGATACCAAAGCTTGAAAAAAAAATCGAAATGAAAAATTTGTTGGAATTCTTGAGAATTTTTTACTTTTATACACTGGTTTTTATTCATTCGTTAAAGTGACAAAGGAACTACTACCAGTACTTTGTAAAAAAAAAGTCCGAAACAAAGTCTGTGTGTGGTACGAAATTGAATGAAATTGATTATAGTTGAGACAGCATGTTGGAGTTTGTATTTAAATGTAATGGCAGGCAACACTGGACACTTGATTAGATTTCGAATATTAGAATTATTTTAAATGTTTAAAGAAACAGATGATTTTATTCTCGTAAGAAAATGTCAGTACTTCTCATCTAGACACGGCAAGAGAAACATGTAATAGTTTTATAAAAAATATAAAGATAATAATTGTATAATGGTGTAAAAGTGTTCAAGTTATCTGCAATATAATTATAATGAAGTTGTGTTTTTAAATAGCCCCTCATCACCTACAGAACCCAATCCCCTCAAATTTTAACCGTCCAACACAGCACCGAGCTACTCACACATTTTAATGAGGTCAAATGAAATAAAATCTCAGTAAAATAGTTGAAATATGAATAACAGTTCAATGGACCTGCAAAGCCACATCCAGCGATTTTGTTTCATTTCTACATATTTATGTACATTGAGCATATTGAGAAATACTTAACAGCTTATTAACCTTTTGTACACGATTAAACCAGAAGAAACATTATATTGATAGGATCTGCATATGGATGACATTACATAAAATATTCCGATCAGGTGATAGATAAGCCCCCGAAGCACCTCTCTTTGGTCTAACAAGCCCGCTTCGAAAGTGCTTGGGTGGTTGTTATTAGCATTACAATATATGATTTAAATTACGCATAGGTACATTAAACATCAATTATGGGATAAAAATTTAATTTGTGTATTTATGAATTCCCAAGAAGTTAGACTTATATGTGCCAAATGAATGAATGAAATGAATTATTTACTAAATCAATATTCCTATTTTTTTGTTAAAATAATTTTAGTCATAAAAGGCTCCAAATCTTAACTTACAATTTTTTCCTTATAAATTTGTTTAGCCCTTTTTAAATTTCTGGACAACATCGCATAATTTAAAAAAAATGGATTTTATGACCTGGTGACTAAGATTTTTAAGTTATGTCTTATTGTGAAATGAAATGAAATAAAAATGAAAACGATTAATTTGAGACATTAATCAACTGGGATGAAATTAAATCAAATGCTATGGGATGAAATATAATCTCAGTAAAATGATGGTTATTTACTGAGATTTTTTCAGTGGACTTTTTGGAGGATCCCGAGAAGTTACGTTCAGCGGCTTTGGTTCATTTTCCCACATATGTGAACTTTCACAGATATTAAATAAGAATATAAATTAAAATAAGCCCGATAATAAGAATATAAATTAAATAATAATACAGCCCGATGTCGATACAGAAGCGATTCATCAGCGCATCATCCATCTGCGTAATTTCAACCGTCCCAGCTGCAGATGTACTGGCACCGTTGTTGATCAGCTCGGCCGCATTCATTACTTTATGTTGCCGGTACTGCTTGACTCGATCATATGGTGTTTTATTGGTACCATTCGATTGCTGTTGAGATGCCCTTTCCAACCGTATACGATCTCTGTATTTCGATTTGGCTTTTCGACGCGTATAGGCCGACATTATATATTTTTTGATATTATTTTTTTATTTTAACACCTTATTATATTCACAGTTACAATTTTACACTAATGTTATATATATAACCGATAGATTTTGACGAGAGCTGATGATTGAAACTTGAATGAACGTCGTAGCTTTCCCGAGTCGAAAGTTATAATAAATGGAAATCTCGATACGCAGCAAAATTACCTTCAAAATGGCGGAGCTGCCCCCTCCCCCGCGCGCGATGTGTTACAGTCCTTACTTATCGTAATAAATTCTTTGATTCTTTAGCTATCCAGTGGTGTAACTGAAATTTGGATGGAGATGATAGATATGTAGCTACAACACTAAACTGTATCCCCCAATTTTGTTATCATTCGTTTTTTTGGATTGCGTCCCCATGGAAGTAATTTTAAAGACGTATTCACGTCAAAAAGTTTTTAGTGAAATTAAAATAAGGCTTGACCTAAAAGTCTTAGTTACCAGGTCATAAAATCCCTCAAAACCAACCAATAGAATTTTAATTGCAACATTTCATTCGTGCAGTTCATTCCATTCTATTTCATTCTTTTTTGACACCCACTTAATCTACTGACTCTCCTGTCCACCATTTCGTGTTCGACTATCTGAGTGACAACGTTTACTCTCGATAACTGAAAAAGTCTGCAGCGCGTTAAACAAAATTACGCGTCAGATTGGTGTGCTATTTGTATATTGCGTATCTAAGAACGTGCCGTGGCTAACATTACAGTGCTTTATCGTTGAACAGTTCGTGTTATATTTAACAACGTAAGTTTTGTACGTGTTGTCTTTGTGAAATGCTCGCCATGTTGAAATAACCACGTAACCGTATTTAAAAATTTACAGTGATGTGCAGTTGATGCTAAAAGTTCGTGTTTGGCANATTGGTGTGCTATTTGTATATTGCGTATCTAAGAACGTGCCGTGGCTAACATTACAGTGCTTTATCGTTGAACAGTTCGTGTTATATTTAACAACGTAAGTTTTGTACGTGTTGTCTTTGTGAAATGCTCGCCATGTTGAAATAACCACGTAACCGTATTTAAAAATTTACAGTGATGTGCAGTTGATGCTAAAAGTTCGTGTTTGGCATGCCATCGTGGGCGGCCGTGCATCATGTCGAAAGAAATCTCCGAGGAATATGCGTCCAGTTTGGCGGATCTGACCGTCAACAGCAAGCCATTGATAAATATGCTCACAATTCTTGCGGAAGAGAATATCGAACACGCTGGGGTTATCGTTGAAACCGTGGAAAAGCATTTGGAGAAGGTGAATTTCCATTTTTAACAAAAAATACACTCTTGAAGAGTTATTGTCCACACGTTCACTATATTAGAGAAAGTGGTCGGTGTTGACGCACACCAGTTGTGATAAGGAATGGTGACACCTGTTAAGTTTCGTCAAACCTCGTTTGTAACCAGTTAAACACGAGCAGGCATCTCCCAATAAGTATTCTAGAAATTTTCACTTATTACCACACATTCGATTAGATATATTTCCTTCTAAATTTATTTTGTATGGAAGGTAATTCCTATTAAACAATTAAAATTACATTAAAACCGAACCTGGACTTAGTAAAAAAGTTATAACTACACTATAAACTTTAGACTTCTTAAGTGAATTTCTTAAGAAAGGAAATTGGTTCATGTGCCTGTGTTAATTTTCAGAAACACAAATTAATATTTTATAATTTAAAGTTATTAAAAGAAGCTCAGTATAAAATTTTTGTCTTATCAAGTGTTGAGGAATATGTAAACATAAAGGGGCCTCTTTAAACGTTTGAACAGAATGATAGATTTTCCCAGCACTTATATGTACTTAAGGAATAAACTCATTTGAAACATTTGCTTTCCTGTATTAAATTATGGCAATTATTCACAAAAGGCAAACATATGTCATTCAAGTGCAATCTTGAATTCACTACAACAAAATTTACTCAAACATTTTGATATATCTCTTTAAAATTTTTATTTTATTAGTTGGAAAGCATTTGTATCGTAATATAAAATATAGGAATAGGGAAATTTAATGTGGATATGCACTACAGAAGTTATGTTTATGAGAGAAAATATATTACTTAGAGTAGAAGGAAATGTCTAATGATAAAAAAATAATAATATGTGATTGAATTATAATATATACCTTAAACATTCATATGTATAATATCATGCACACGTTTTTCTTTTTGTATAATCTTTTACATTGTCAAAAAGAACTAGAGAACCACTTTTATTACTAAGGTTTTGTGACTTTAGAAATCACATTTCAATTGAGTCAACAATATTTTGCATGAGAAATCTTCACATATGTATATGAGCTATTAATACTGCTGATAAACTTTGAGGAATTTGTTTTTGATCATGTTATCCTTTCATAAAATTTTGTAGCAATTTATGAATCTATGAGGTATGAGAAAAGTTTGCCATTTCTATAGGAAAATATAAGTAGTTTGACAATAGTGCAATTGAGCATGCAGCTCTGTTGTTTAAGGCAGCCATTGTGAAACACAAATATATGTAGTTAGTAGTTTTTTTTATTTCTACACATATTGAATCCCTTGATTCTCTTGTTGACCTTTCATCTTCCGGGAGATGCCTGTTTAATGACCAGTTACATAAATTAATATACCAATAATGGTATCTAATCTGAAAACAATTATTATTTCAGTTATGTATCACCTGTGAATGTTCGAAATAAAGCATTTTGAAACTGATTTCTGATTTATTTTCTAATTTGTTTTGAATTAAAATATTCAAATTAAAATTTGTATTATTGTAACCCATTCCATTCAGTACCTGTGAACCTAGGGATGTCCTTTACTTCCAGCCACCAGTACACATAGAATAGAAATCATTTTTCCTCCACACAGGTGCATCCCGATATCAAGTTGCCAGTTCTGTATTTAGTTGATTCAATTATCAAGAATGTTGGCGGAGCCTACACACAAAAATTCTCACAGAGTATCGTCAACATGTTTACAAGGACTTTTAAGCAGGTAAACTGAAGTTTAATTAATTAATTCAATTGTTTATTTTTCTAAACAGACATGACAAGCTAAAATAACATAATTTCTTTTGTAGGTTGATGAGAAAATACGGTCACAAATGTTCAAACTTCGTGAGACTTGGCACGATGTGTTCCCAGCGACGAAGCTGTACCAGCTAGATGTCAAGGTCAACCTCATTGATCCAGCATGGCCGATACAGGCCCAACCCCAGCAATCAAACATCCATGTAAATCCAAATTTTCTGAAAAAGGTGTTTCTTTTAGTTTGTTATTGTTTCTCATGCATGCTAGGTTTGCTCTGGCAACTAATCTGAGAAGGAATTCAGAAATAGCTTATCTTGTTTTGGGAGCTCATTATATGCCATTTGNATGTCAAGGTCAACCTCATTGATCCAGCATGGCCGATACAGGCCCAACCCCAGCAATCAAACATCCATGTAAATCCAAATTTTCTGAAAAAGGTGTTTCTTTTAGTTTGTTATTGTTTCTCATGCATGCTAGGTTTGCTCTGGCAACTAATCTGAGAAGGAATTCAGAAATAGCTTATCTTGTTTTGGGAGCTCATTATATGCCATTTGAAACTTAAATGCCCATAGAATGCTCGCACAAAAAGTATCATTATAATTCCATTACCTACATAATGTTGTTCGTGAATGCTGCTAATCACAACTCTTTAATTTGGTGACGGAACTATTGTAAATGGGACTGAAGAAAGGGTTAAGGAAAATTATTGTCATATAATGGTTTTTGCAAAAAAGTAATGTTATCTAAATTCAGTGAAGTGATTAAAAAAAATACATTAGTTATGAAGGTCTCATAATTATTTCCAGCATCATCATTAGTAAATGGCTTGTTAATCACTTCCTTACCTGTTCTCCATTTATTTAATTGTATTTCAAATTTTTGCAACCATTTGATAATGATTCTGTCTGAATTTTCGATATTTTTTTTCTCGTTTTCTTATCTCCCTCATACAAAAACGACCATACGGTCCGTCTGATGGTGAAATGGACGTCAGCAAAGCCACGACCTATGCAAATTGTGAAAACGATAGGCAAAGAAACTAAAGTCTAAAATCTTTACAGCCACCGGCTTCCACACCGGTGTTGACTGACGAAGAACGAACCATCATCGCTAAGAAAGAGCAGGAGCTGCTCATGCTACAAAAGAAAAAGATTGAGTTGGAATTGGAGCAGACACGGAAGCAGCTTGAGGTAGCTGAGAAGAATGCTAAAAAGGTAAGGTTTTTTGCACAGTCAGCACGTCAATGTTTTAAGAATTGATAATCTGAGAATTTAGCTGTATTATTAAGATTGAACTAAGAATTGAGAGTGTATTTAAACTACATAGTATCAAGTGATAGATAGTTTATAAAAACATTTGAAAGTTTCTTGCAAGATTTCTGAACATATATCTGTACAAAACAATTGGCTGTTTCGTTCTATGAAAGAGAACTTTTTGACTCTTATCGATTCAATGCAATGCATCGCTATTAACCCTTAACATTTTGAATTGAAATTTTGTTGTTAATGAGAAGCAACGTCTACCACGTAATGTGCGAAACATACAGAGAGTTGTCATTTTATAACATATTTCGAGCTGTTGTTACAAAAACATTTGGATAGGATTTTTTAACACTTAAGTATTCTACAAAATGACACCAGAAACAAATGAAAGTTATTCTTAAAACTACTCAAATTAGAATAACTTTTCTTTTGCTTTATTTTTTACTAGCGATCCGCCCTCGCTTCGCTTCGGAAACATTAAAACACACATGAAACCAAAAAATAAAAATAAAAAAATAAATAAAAAAAGTAGCCTATGTTCATCAGGGACAATGTCGGCTTCTAATGGAAAAAGAATTTTTCAAATCGGTCCAGTAGTTTCGGAGCCTATTCGAAACAAACAAACAAACAAATCTTTCCTCTTTATAATATTATTAGTATTAGTATAGACATGCATGTTTCTTGTGGCCTACTAGTTCAGAAACTTCTTTCTTGATGTTTCTGAAGATCGTCGTGACACTTATTTGGTTAAACGAGGCTTCTAAGGTTTTCTAAGGCCTTCGGTTATAAAAAAAAACGATTTGGTTTTTTTTATGCAATTATGTATGTACCCAGAATTTCTTTATGAATTACTTTAATAATGAAGGAATAAGGTACTATACTAAAACATTGTCCTGCCCGTTTCAATTAAGGCTGTCTAGTTCTGATGGATGGTAAAATAGTGGCCATTGTCTCAAAGTAGTGTTTACATTGTTATACAAAATAATGAGCTCTAAGCAAGTATGCCTTGTAAATCCAAAGACAAGTCTTCTCGCTAATCGAGATGCTTCAAACACCAACACTCGCCAATAATAATAAAAAATAAGTTAATTTAAACATTTTGGTATTATGTGCAAAGATCTTCAATCGATCCTATGTTTTTGAAACTGTAGTTCTGCAAGTGACTTTGAACACTTGCAGACATCTTAAAAGAGTGAACTAAAAATTCATTTGATCGCTAAATACAAAATTAACATTAAATTAGCTTTTTATTTTTACAAATTAGTTTTTTACTGTTATGATGGACAAACAGTCTACGATGATGTTATTAATTACTTTTGTTGAAATTAAATAGCTACTAGAGTTCGTTTTATGTTAAAGTAACAATTACAACTTAATTATTTCATCACCAAACATTACCTTAAGACATTCATAGCCAATATGTCATTAAGTCATAAGTCATAAATGGAATTGTTCCTTCATAGTATTTAAATTGAAGTGCTATACACTACGACTACCAACGACTAAAAATTGTGTAATTATATCATCTTGGAACAGGTGGTGACAGCAGTCCCTCCTGTGGTGGCCGCAGCGACTGCGCCCGTCGCCCCCGCCGCGACTCCGCTGGTCTCCGTCGCTGCGCCAGAGGTCACGCCTGTACCTGTCAGACAGAGGCTCGGACCGGTGAGTCGATATTTGCGTTTTCTTTTTGACGTAGAGTTAAATTGTGGAGCAATTCGATGAATTTAGTTTTCTTTGTAGCCAATAAACAAAACGGGCAGTCGGATAGCGCCCGTGAGNCCGCCGCACCGCCCGCCATCGCCCCGCACGTGTTCGACATCAAGCCGCTCGACCGCGTCACCAAGCGGAAGAACGTCATCACCATCGACGTGCGCTGCCCGGCGCCCGCGCCCCGGCCCTCGCCCCGCCGGGACCCTCGCCTGCACAAGCGCGGGGGCAAGGCGCCGGCGCCCAACGCGGACGGCTACGTCGACGCCTTGCCCGACCCTAAAAAGATCAGCAAGCTCCCGCCCATACCAAAGATAGTCCGGGAGGCGCCCTCCTCGAATAAAAAGCGGAAAGATTCCCGCGAGAAAAAGAAAAAGAGGGACGACAGCAAGGAGAGTTCGAGCGGCTCGTCGCCGGACAAGCGGCTGCGCGCCAAGAACGGGAACAAGGCCCAGAAGAAGAAGGAGCCCGACGCGCCCGTGGCCTTCAAGGAGCTCAAGAACTATGTGAAGGGGCGGTACATGCGCCGCAACAAGGAGCCCTCCGAGAGCCCGGAGAGGCCCGAGGCCGCCGCATCAAGTAAGATATCAGTCTTAGTTCCGCGCAACGGTCCCGCTCGAGACGGATCTGTGATACTTTGTTTTAAGCCAAAGCGTTTGACACCATGTTGTGTGAAAATAAAATATTTTTCAACTGCTGGAGTATTCATATTGACGTGTTCTACGCCGGAGTTTTTATACCCTTTACTCATAATCAAATCCGAAGTACTATATATACTTCATAAGTTTAGTGTAGCGGTTTTGTTAACTCACCACCGATTGTATTTATATAGTTCTTGTTACACAAATTCATCGCACATTTTCTTACTTGATCAAGTCGTTTTTATAAGACTTTTTTGCATCATCAATTATAAAAAGCATTTATTAATATAATTAGAGTTAGTATAAATTTATATTAGTAAAACTCACATATACCGAAATGCTGAAAGTGATTAATTGAATTCTGAAAAATGATTCATAGCTTTTGAATTAAAAGTTTAATGTACTAAAGCCGCACACATTCCCACAATCTTGAATGTGTACTTTGTAAGTTAAAACCGCTGTTATATTTCTGGGCACATATATTAGTGTTTGATGCGTGGATGTTTGCTTAATCCGAGGCCTGTAGTCGCGTAAGTATAGTCTGTTCTGTACTAAGTACCCTATTTACCTTCTAGTATATACGGACAACATGAAATCTGTTAAAGCATCATGTACACTAGTCCAATTCGGTGCTCATTGCATTGAAATAGTTTAAATGGCTGTCGTCTAGAGTACATTTATATTTTTTTATCATCAATTATTTCTTTGGTGATTTGTGTGCTATAAGCTTAAGTTCGTGCTCCCGCACGCCACTCGCTCCTAGTAAGTCTTACGGTAATTGCGGTAAAGATTTCAAGATTTACGGTAAAAAAGTGTTTGTGTGATAGTGGTATTAATAAGTGCACTTCGGCAGATCCCCGTGGATCTTTGGTTTAAGTGAGGACTTTATCTTGATGACCACATTAATTGACAATATAAACCGTAGTACAAAAGTGAAAAATTAGTCCTTACGGTTTTGAAACTCGATATACGCCTTTGTGAGATGCTTGCAACCGATATTGCAGCTAGCCCTGTTGTTTAGTGACTATTAAAACTTAAGCGATTTTATTCTTTAGAATATTTTGCTTCCCTTAACATGAAGCTGTTAGCGGGACTGGCTAAGTTATTTAGGTGTCAACTTTTAGAATTTTACGTATGGTTTCGTAGACTTTTCCATGCTAATAGTTAAAAAAGCCTGTTTAATATCACTCGAGGTGCTAGTTTGGTACGAGCAGGAGAATTCTTTGTCCTGAGATCCTGGGTCCGCAATTCTGGTCTAAACTCGAGGACCTGACGCTACTTCAACGGCAGGTTGCCTAATGCGGCGTGTGACCACGGCTCTGGCAGATTGGACAACACCTGAGCGACAGTCATCTATTGAAGAATGCAGTGAACAAGTCGCGACCGCTACGACGTCACAGATGAGGCCGAGACGTGAACCTCAATTGTCCACATCCAGAAGAAGAATACCTCTCGAATGTTTTCGAAGTCAAAGTTCTGCGTTAAGTGGATTCGCAAACCAATTTAGGAACGGCCGCTGATGTAGCGAAAAGTGAGGTCCGCAAGGCGGGTTGGGGGGGGCGGTATTGGACTGTCAGAAGCAGGCTTCCAGGTGTATGTTCTGGTGATCCAGGCTGTGGTCAGGAGCGGACGACGCGTCGTGACCGTGCCATTTGCTCACTCCAGCTGATACTCTACCATAACACAATTGCACTACGGAATATTTACTCACTGTTACCCCAGCCCAACGTATATACTTGTGGTTTTATTCCATAGTAAGTTATCGGAGTTTTATAAGGCTTTTTATCGTTATAAGACTGAAAGTGTTATTCGTAAAAATATAGATATTAATTTGGTCATACGCATAAAATATTTCGAGTTAATATTTAAGAATAAGACCGTTTTTGCTTTAGCAAGTTCAAATATCGCGAAGATGGTTTATGTTTGTTACTGTAAGGATTTAATCGCATTTCGAAATGGCTTTAAGCATAGTTCCCTCGCGGGAGGTTTGGTAATAATAACAACCGTAGTAGCGTTAGTCAAAACATCAACTTTGTGGCATAGACATGCCGCGTGAATGCGCGTTGTGTTTAGAATGTACTGCAATAGTTGAATCTCGAACATTCTTTGCAATAACGCAATTTTAAAGGTATTAATAGTTCAATAGATTTAAAAACTGTTCGAAAACAGTCAATTTGTGAGTAACACGTATGGTACTTGTCCAATTAGAATTTTCCTAAAGTCCGTATGCAGCCCCGTGGAGCATACGAGTGCTTCCAGCGGTGTTTGTAGCGATCGGCACGGCTGGAAGTTGCGAATATACCGTTTGTTTTAAAACATTAATTCATTAGTATCGTATTTGAAGTTACAAAGTACAGTCTTGCATAAAAGCGTATTGAATTTTCCGCAGAAATTTAAGAAATGACTTTGTCGTGACATTAAAATCGTATAACGACATTCTGTTCGTATGTTACACAAACGTTACACATTTTAAATCTCGAATTGTATATGTAATTTGATGTAATATTATTTTAACCCGTAACGTTTAGATGTTTCTCGATCGCCATTAGATGTGGTAACTTCAGTGTGCTTAGTGCGAGTTTCTTAACGTTCTCGATAGCGTAAAAGTTTTTGTATGCAGTTGGAACAGCGCCCCTAGCGGCAAACGTACGCAAACGATCCCTTTCCATACAAATATGAGCTAACTTTTACGCTATCGAGAACGTTAAAAAACTCGCACTAAGCACACAGAGGAAGTCTCAGTCGCGTCTTACGTTAAAACGATAACTCTATCAGACACTGAACGAACTTTGTGTAATTGGAATCCACGGTATTGAGCTAAACGAAAGGTGCCTCTCCTACAAAACATGTTTTTAAATAATATTTTTAACAACGACCGGACTCTTCTCATGGAAAGCTTTTTTTAACTTCCTTACGACTTCATTGTTCTTGACTTACCCGGTCCGTACTCTCGTACGTTACAATGGTATAATAACCTTTATAAGTGTATTTAGAAAATGCCGAGACCGTTCAAGTTTAAATTTTGTATTGTTTACTTTAAAAACATGAGGCATAGTGGAACAAGACTAAACATTATGACCTCTTAAACTAAGCGCATTGGTGCAAAATCATTACCTACGTAGGTATTCGGTTACTGCGCGCGCAGTTGATTGTTCGGTTTCCAACTAATATTTTAATTAGCGATTTCAATCCATCTGTCAACCATTCGAATCAGAAAAGAGTGAGAATTATGTTAAAATAACGTAACATAGACATTTATCAGCCAAATAACTTTTAAATTTGTGACGAATCGTTTTAAAAATATTTTTAAACGTCCACGTATTTACTAAAATACCAATACATGTACTATTTTATGTCTTATACAGCAACAATAAAGTATCAACTTCAACGTCACTTATCATTTATACAACATGGTCTAAATTTTAAAACGCGTGGTAATACCGCATGTAACGGTTGTATCAAAATAGTATCCCGAAATACGTAAATAAAATTATATAAGTATGTAAGGCGGGCTATAGTTGAATTTTTCTGGTTAGAACACTTTGCACACGGTTATTCTATGAAATCTTTCTGAATAAAAAACACCTTCATCTTTCAATATCAATTGCTAATAAATTTGTTAGCAAAATAACATAGTTTATTGAATATATAATTCTGTTTGGGGTAATGCATCTCCTATTAAAATGTTGACACTAATCGGGATTGACTACGCACTAATTGAATCAACGATACACGTCTTGAAAAACAAAACAAGACTCGTGGAAGGTAAAGCTTGGAGGTTTAACAATACATACAGATTGGGTTGTCGGATTCTACGAAAATACCCATAAAAATTTAGATAATCTTTCAGGTGTGCCCGACGTGGTCGTAGAGAATAAGGACATCGATCTCAGGGTGCTCCCGCCCGCCAGCGAGCCGCCGCCCGCGCCCGTCGCCCTCAAGAGGTCCTCCACTGAAACGCTCGAACCAAAACCTAAAAGGAACAAACTTGACAAATTTGATATGTGAGTATGAGAACGCGGTCATAGGTTAAATAGTAGTTGATGAATACCGTACTTTTGCTTTTATTGTCGTGCTTTAGCATTGTCACATAACCGGTCATCGTTCTCATCGAACCCGTCACTTGCGACGAAGGGATCGACGAGTAAATTAAACCGTAGACACAGCCCACTGAGTTTTTCGCCGGATCTTCTCAGTGGGTCGTGTTTCCGATTCGGTGGTAGATTCTGCGAAAGGTTTGTGTTAGCAACATGGTCAGGTTTGAGCCCCTTGAGCTCACCTACTCGCCCGGTGACCTCACCCACTCGCCCGGTGAAGCTGGTATGGTCTCTCAAGACCATCAGCTTAGGTAGAAAAAAAAACAAGTCATAAAATTTGAACATGAATCATTAATTTCGACTAGGTAACGTACATCTACAATAAACGCTGAATTTTTATTACTTGTGTAATTTATTTCCAGTCTCTTCGGCAATGAAGATGTTGATCTCCGGAAGCTGCCACAAGTTGAAGAAATTCTCCCAGTGGCTCCGCTATCACCGAAACACAATGACGAGTCTCAAGAGAGTGGACCCGACAAGGTCGTTTCTCCTCACGACTCTCCCAAACAAAAAGACTGGAATGAAGTCAAGGAGAAAACTGAAAAGAAGGCTCCATCCAAGTTAGATTTAGTGCGAGCCAAGCTTGCAGAGGCCACTAAAGGCAAGGACAGACTGGGCAGACCTTTACTCTTCAGTAAGTCGCCAAGTAAGTATATTCTTACCTCATTATTTGCCTATGAACGTACTCAATTAGAAACGACAGAACTATTGTAAAATGAATTTTATTTTTAGGTATTGAAAGAGAACGGAAGCGTACCTTAAGTTCTGAGGACACTGACCTTAGAAACGAAAATTCCGACGAGTACGACACCGAAGACCACAAGAAGACAATTTCCATCATAATGTCGCAAGCCAAGGAGCAGTACAGCGACGGGCAGATCGACAAGAACCAGTACAACACGCTCGTGTGTCAGGTTCTGCAGTTGAATGAGAAACTGAAGTTGAAAGAGGCGAAACAGAGAGAGTCTCTCGAAGTTTCTAAAAGGAGACTCAACGCGCACATACTCGAAGATAGCTTCAAGGTCGCGTCCCCGAAGTCGTCGCCCGGCGAGAACAACTACGGCGACATCGACGAGCGGGTCCCGCCCACCGCCTACCTCGACGCCCTGCACAACGGCAACGAGCTCAGGCAGGACTCCGACATGCGCGCCGGACCCGCCGACCAGACCGACGGACACAAGGCCAAGGGGCTGCTACCCAGGCCGCCGATGATGCCCATGTTCGGACCCTTTCCTCCCATGTGGAGGGGACAGCCTCACCCCCGGATGGACGAGTACGGCCCCAGGAGGTTCCGAGGGCCGATGCCATTCTTTAGGGGGAAATTCGATAACAGACTCATGAGACCGCCCTTCGACCCGCGGATGACCGTGCCTTTGCCGACCCCGAAGCTTGGTATCTGTCAAGGGGAGAGCCCGCTCGAGCCCTACGTGAGGAGCGAGTCTCCCCCTCCCCTGGGCGCTCCTGGGTTCGTGATCCCGCCGACTGACTACCGAATCTTGGAGTACATCGAGCAAGATCCCGTGAAGACCATACAGATAGACGGCGTGCCGCGCGAGATACGGTTCTACGGCGACACGGCGGTCATCATGCTGGACTGGGACGACCCCAGGGAGATCAAGTTCTTGCCTGGCTCGAGACGCGTCACGTTCGACAACAAAGACTCGGTGGTCCTCTCGTTCAACGAAGAGAGCAGACAAATAGAAATAGACGACCAAGTGTTCGATATAAAGTTCGGGGCTCCCACCCGGGAGCTGTGCATCAACGGGCGGTGGTACGAGTGCTTCTTCGGAGGCCAGCCCGTGGGCGTGCTCATCGACGGGCGGCCCCGGCTGGTGCAGCTGGAGGGCCCGCTGCCGCAGGTGGACATCGGCAAGGCGAAGCGGACGGAGCTGGTGGCCGGCAAGATCAACCTCATAGTGAACGCGACGCAGATGTGCCCCGTGTACCTGGACGCTAAAGTGCAGAAGTTTACAATAAACGGACAGTTCTTTACTATCAGATTTGTTGATTCTTTGAAAACTGTTTTAATAAACGAGCAGCCTTTTAAAGTTGAGTTTGGTGATTTACCCAAGCCCATAAGTATAGGGAACGAAAAGTTCTTCATAAGATTCTCGGCTTTACCCAGAAACGTAAAGCCGGGCTATATACAGATAGCTAACATGGAAGGAGTCACGCTGCCCAGTATGACGGCGGCGCCCGCGGGCCGCAGCGTGCCGCAGCCCATGGACACCGACCAGGAGCCCGACAGAGCCGTCAAGACTCCTAGCCCGGATATCAATAATGAAAATCAAGGTGAGTCACAATTTCTTATCCATATTTTTTTTTTAGCTTTAACAAGACTTGTATGGTCTTCTATAGTCTTTGATCGTAAAAATGATAGTTGGATATATCTTTGGTCTTTTTAATATATTGACTAATATATGGAATAAGTATAACTAAATAGGTACCTGTATGCATTTTCACCATTTATCAAACAATTCATCGGCAATATTATTAAATGTTGTCTCGACATCCAACATGGTGCTAACTAAAGTATTTAGCGGAGTCCGTGGACGCGACAAGTGACCTAATAAAGTCGGTGGCTCATGTAGAAACCTACAGTCGAAATCTCAATAGACAGAACAGGACTCGGAACAGATAAATTTCTTGAAAACGTGACTTATCTTACGTTAAATTGCAAAGTTCTGGCTTCAAGAGTTTAAATACCTATTGAATTGTTCCTCTCCTTTTCCTTGCCTCGATACTCCTCAATGCTCCTCCCTCAATGCAACTCTCGGGACTTGACCTGTGAATAACCTTCTCTTGGACTACCCTGTGCCAGCTCAGTTTAAACTCGGCTGTGTGGATGGCATCGTGAACTTAGATGTTGAGGATAGAGCGTATCTGGTCCGACCAATGCACTGGACTACTACCTCTAGCTCTTATTCCTTGCCAACCGATTTGAAAGATTCACCCGGGAGATCAAACTACTGATTTCTTTGATGGGTCAGGAGTTATCTAAGCGGACGGTTACGAGCTTTAGTCTTCAAGACGATCAACACAAATTTTTTATTTATTGTTTAGATGGATGTACGAGGTCACAGCCCACCTGGTGTTAAATGGTTACTGGAGCCCATAGACATCTACAACGTAAATGCACCACCCACCTTGAGATATAAGTTCTAAGATCTCAGTATAGTTACAAGGGATGCCCTACCCTTCAGACCGAAACGCATTACTGCTTCACGGCGGAAATAGGCAGGGCGGTGGTACCTACCTTCGCGGACTTACAAGAGGTCCTACCACTAGTAAAAAATGCGGTCAACAGTGCATTATGCTTGTTGCTTCACGGTATATGGCCACAGGACTGGTCCAAAATACTCTTTGTGAAGCGGTCAGCGGAACCAATATATACTACAACGTAAATTTCACCAACGACCTTAAAACACAGGGTTGAAGTTTCAATAGCATTAAATCAGCGGTCATTATAATCTACAAATCGAAACACTGTAGGCTGCTTGGGCATGCTATCAACAAATATGGACTTAAAATACGACCGAAGATCGAAGCGATAGGATAATCTTAGTCATTAGTTTGGAATCTGCGGCTCTCGCATGACTGGCACCCAGGATGATGAGTATCTACAAGACTTCTAGAAGGATTCTTTGAGAATTTTTTCTGATGGCTTAACTATGAATTAAAATTTGTCTATGAATGTCTATGAATTATAAAAAAATGTCTAGAAATAAGGAAGTTGCTAGCGCTTTAGTATCGTGTTAGATAGAGATCACATTAATTTGTACAGTGACGTTATGTTCATTAAAATTTTCTACACAAAATATGCGTCGCAAAAAAAGGACGTAGCTAACCTTCTTAATACTCAAAATATAGAACTCTATATCTGTCTAATATTGAGAAGCTGAAGAGTGCGCGTTTGGGATGGTATGGACATGTGATGAGACGAAATGAAAATGAGGTTGGTAAGAGAGTGTTAACTATGAATGTGGAAGAATATAGAGGAAGAGGTAGACCTAAGAAGAAATGGATGGATTGCATGAAAGACGATATGGGTAAGAGGGGAGTGAGCGAAGAAATGGTATATGATAGAAGAGTATGGAAGGAGAAATCATGTTGCGCCGACCCCAGGTGACTGGGAGAAGGGCAAGATAATAATGATTGAATTTTGGATTTTAAACAGTAGTCCTAAAATAGCACTTCTAACGGACGTTGTTGATCGTTCATAAAACTTAGTTTTGGCTTCTGGTTAAAGTAATGTACTTATCAAGGTCCTGTTGTGAGAGTACGAGGTGATACAAAACCTTAAAATTGTCGAAGTGTCGTACAATTTATTACCCGGTCCCTAAAATCTATTCACGAGGGATCATGTAGAGGCAGTTTAATATTGTGTGTGAGCGTCCTTAATGCGTTATCAAACATTAGTGAGGTATGGTTATCTGAACTGAAAACATTGTCCACCAGGTGAGTTCGATGGTACGTTATTGTTATCATCGGAACTACGCATAAGTATACTTGTAAGGTTTTCAAATAGATTTCCTAAATTTATTACAATGGAAACCAGTGGAAGATTACAATATTTGTATTTAAATCTAAACGATCCGTACATAGTGGCTTAGTGTGCGTTTATTTCGTAATCTGTGTTACCAAATATTAAGTGAGGTAAATACAGTACCCGGCGATAAATATTGCACATCGACCGTGGGTAAGAGACGGTTAATTTTTGCTTCGTAGAACGTTATATCTGTCGCACTTTATCGAATTGGCATTTAGTCTCCATATATACCGGATCGTTAGTGTTTCGTCGCACACAGGTAACGCCCTACAACAAAAACAAAATTAGACGACTGTCTCTTTCTAAAGATCGATTTGCAATATTTATTGCCTGGTACTGTACGTTAAACGCTCAAAGACTTTGTATAAAAAACTCAATCGATTTCTTAATACATTGATCAATTCTGCAGGTCTAGAAATGTTGGCCAGCGTGATGCCTTCGAGCATAGTGCCGGCGTCCGCGTCCGAATACAGCGTGGCCGAACCCTTATTCGGGAAGACCGACATGATCCCGGGCCTCGACACTCCGGCCGACGAGAAGCCGAAGCCGACTCTACCGATCCTCGACAACATCAACGTTAACGATTTGTTCGCGAAGCTGGTGGCGACCGGCATCGTCCAAGTGCAGAACGACAGCGCTAAAGACCTGAAGATTGAAACTAAAGTCGAGGAGAAGATAAAACCGAAGGAGGACAAAGACGTCACGCACAAAGTTGATCTCTTGAAACCGGAGACGCTAAGGAGGTAAATAATTGTTATGTTTTCGGAGTAGCGTAACGAAAGTAGACATTCGTAATTGCGTTGTGGCTGGTGGTAGAATGAGTTGGATCAGTTCTGCCGCGGAGCAGCCGTGTGTTTTCGTCGGAAGGGTGGGATTATCGTATAATAAAATACTAAAACATCGCTTCTCTTTTCTCAAAATGTGTGATGACATGGACATTGCGATGCCCATGGACACTGTTTACTACTTGACCCTTTCACCGTCCTTGTCGAAGCCGTCGCTCGCGACGAAGGTCTCTACGAGTAAATTAACCCATAGACACAGCCCACTGAGTTTGTCGCCGGATCTTCTCAGTGGGTCGCGTTTCCGATCCGGTGGTAGATTCTGCGAAAGGTTTGTGTTAGCAACATGGTCAGGTTTGAGCCCCTTGAGTTCACCTACTCGCCCGGTGACCTCACCCACTCGCCCGGTGAAGCTGGTATGATCTCTCAAGACCATCAGCTTAGGTAGAAAAAAAAACAAGTCAAGTCAATGGGTCCCGTTTCCGATCCGGTGGTAGATTCTGCGAAGCACGGTTCTTGCTAGGGTCAGTGTTAGCAACACTCCCGGTTTGAACCCCGTGAGCTTACTTACTAGTTAAGGTTACGCTGATATAGCCTCTCAAGGCTATCAGCATAGGTAAGAAAAGAAAGGCAGTTGACAGTCGATAAACGGCCGTCTGGTGTAGCAACTTAGCACGGGACCAGTTAACGTGTTCAGTGGTGCATGTACGGATGATGTGTCGGCAGCAAGCAGGGCGGCGTGGTGCGGCGGCTGTACGGCGGCATGCAGTGCTCGGGGTGCGGCGCGCGCTTCCCGCCGGAGCACACGGTGCGCTACTCGCAGCACCTCGACTGGCACTTCCGCCAGAACCGACGCGACCGGGACTCCGCCAGGCGCGCGCACAGCCGACACTGGCACTACGACCTCTCCGACTGGCTGCAGTACGAGGAGATCGACGAGCTCGACGACAGAGGTAGCGCACACTACACGTACACATACATTTATACATCATTTGAACAACTACAATTGAAACCTCTTCAGTAATACTCAGTAAAAGTTATGATTCTATATTGTATAATGACGTCAATGTGCCTGTGTGCCGTACAACGTTTACTTCAACATTCATTTTGTGGAAAACGTTAATTTATGAGCAAGTGAGCTAGAAAGAGGAAAATTATTATTTAATTAAATTCTGCACTGAGTCTCTTGGTTTTAATAAACCCTACAAATGACGTCACTCAAACCGACACTTGCTTCTAGACTTATCTTTCTTAATGAGCGATTTTAAATAATAAAAAATTGAAATTGAGTCGAGATACTAATAGACCTAACATTCATTCACAGAAAAGAATTGGTTCGAGAGCGCGGGCAGCGAGGGCGGCGAGGCCGGCGGCGCGGGGGCGGCGGGCGCGGGCGCGGGGGGCGCGGAGGAGAGCAGCGCGGCGGGCGCGCGGCCGCGGTGCGCGCTGTGCGGGGACGCCTTCCACATGTTCTACAACCACGACAAAGACGAGTGGCAGCTGCGGAACTCCGTGCGCCACCACGACGACAACTACCACCCCTCCTGCTTTGAGGACTACAAGGTGCTTATACAGCTGCTCCAACATATTATATGTATATTACTGGTGGTAGGACCTCTTGAGAGTCGGCGCGGGTAGGTACCACCACCCTGCCTATTTCTGCCGTGAAGCAATAATTCGTTTCGGTTTGAAGGGTGGGGCAGCCGTTGTAACTATACTTGAGACCTTAGAACTTATATCTCAAGGTGGGTGGCGCATTTACGTTGTAAATGTCTATGGGCTCCAGTAACCATTTAACACCAGGTGGGCTATGAGCTCGTCCACTCATCTCAGCNTCGGCGCGGATAGGTACCACCACCCTGCCTATTTCTGCCGTGAAGCAATAATTCGTTTCGGTTTGAAGGGTGGGGCAGCCGTTGTAACTATACTTGAGACCTTAGAACTTATATCTCAAGGTGGGTGGCGCATTTACGTTGTAAATGTCTATGGGCTCCAGTAACCATTTAACACCAGGTGGGCTATGAGCTCGTCCACTCATCTCAGCAATAAATAAAAAAAACATGATCTTCAAAACGTGATTACATTGCTTATTGTAGGCAGAATTGCCAACCAATCCGAGATTCAGTGCCCTAACACTAAAAGACCTATGTTTATACCGTTCCTAAATTGAAAACTGAATATAATACGAAATTATGATAAAGATATTACAGTCACAAATAGACAATACTAAAATAACAGTAGCTAAGCAATTAAACACTCATCACCATAGATGAGTCAATGTTGGCAGCAATGTTTTGTCCAATAAACACAAATTACTTAATTGTTGTGTATATAAAGATATATAAATCTCTCATTAATTTTACATCGAATCCACAAAAGATACCACGAACTGAAATAAACCATTAAACAAAGACGTAAGGCATTACTACGGATATGTTTTAATATAAATAAGTCCCCATTTTAATTAAAGTAATGTTAAACACATCTGCAATGTATGACGCTAACCTTTAATTTTAAATTTCGAACAAGTATTAATTTATATTTTCCTTCAGGCCTCTCTGGCTAAAGAAGAAGAGAAAGAGAAAGTTGAAGAAACCGCCCCAGAAAAACTAGAAGAAGACAACGAACCGATAGAGATCAAGGACTTTGATGACACGCTCGACCAGTCCGACAACGAGTCGGTAGTAGAAGTCATTGAACCCCCCGTCGAGATACCAGAGCCTCTATTGGTTAGTCTAACTTTTCATTCCATCCTTTATATATACATTTTACTGGTGGCAAGATGTCTTGAGTCTGCACCGGTAGGTATCACCGCCCTGCCTATTTCTGCTGTGAAACAGTCATGCGTTTCGGTTTGAAGGGTGGGGTAGAGGTTAAAACTACACTAACTTTTACGCTATCGAGAGCGTTAAAGAACTCGCACTAAGCACATTATGGTAGGACCTCTTGTGAGTCCGCACNTCCTTTATATATACATTTTACTGGTGGCAAGATGTCTTGAGTCTGCACCGGTAGGTATCACCGCCCTGCCTATTTCTGCTGTGAAACAGTCATGCGTTTCGGTTTGAAGGGTGGGGTAGAGGTTAAAACTACACTAACTTTTACGCTATCGAGAGCGTTAAAGAACTCGCACTAAGCACATTATGGTAGGACCTCTTGTGAGTCCGCACTGGTAGGTACCACCACCCTGCCTATTTCTGCCGTGAAGCAGTAATGCGTTTCGGTTTGAATGGTGGGGCATCCGTTGTACTGTAAAAACTGAGACCTTAGAACTCATATCTGCAATATACATATGCGCTAATACACAGACGATACTGTAAGCTGTGTTTCGTTGTAGATACCGGGCTCACGAGGAAAGGAAGACCTGTTTTCTGTAAATATTGTTGTAGGATAATATTACTGTTTCGTTTTGGGGTTCCATCGACAAGAGATATAAACTGATTAATTATTAAATAAATAAAAGGAAATGTGTATTTTATAGCATTTATAGCAAAATGGGTTTGTCAATAAGATTAATAAATTGTCAATATCAATGTAGTCATAGTAGTCTCAGCTTAGATATTCAGGCTAAGATACTGTACTCTGAGTGAAGTCCTGAATGAATATGTGATATATTAACTGTACCCGTCCGCTTCGCTGGGGATTTAAAATTAACATTATTATTTCTCAGCCCACAAAGATTCTCATCATTAACGCCCCCGCAACTGGTGTAGGGAGTCCAACACTCATATAAATATTAACCTATCCATTAAGTATATGTATTTTCTACATGGATACTAAGTTTTGAGTCAATCGGATGCATGGTTCAGTAGTTATAACGGAACATCCGTAAAAACCACTGTAGATTTATATATTAGTATAGAAGTAATTTATGTGACAGATTGACGAAGGAGATGAAGACGATGTGGTGCTGAAGGCCGAGCCGATAGTGCAAGTGGAGGTGCAGGACGACGACGACACGGACGACGAGACGGTCGCGCACCGCGCCGAGCGGGACAGGCTCGCCCGCATCGACTTCTCCAACGTCAAGGTCAAGCAGGAGCCCCTCGACCCAGGTCACTGCTTCATACTTCTTCATACTCTGATAGTAGTACTCGTCGTGCACAAGGGTGAACCAACTCACGGTCTACCTGGTGTGAAGCTGTCACAGCGGCACCTTGAAACACGAAGTCTCAATTGTAACATAACAGCTGACCCGGATTTTGTTAGGAAAAGTAGTCCTGTCTGAGCATTTGAACACACTGTTGCATTGCTCGATACAAGCACACCTTTCAATTATAGACATGTCTTGTACTATATTGTTTTTAAGAATATTTTACATCTACAAAAGTGCTAATAAATAGCAATTAAATGCAATTAAATATGATTTTTATATATTTAATACTATTGGTGTAGAACAAATTGACGATTTCTTCGTAGCCTGCATCACAAAAATTTCACACAAGGTTTGATCGGAGTTGTATTGGAAATACAACAATTATTTAATTATTCTATATACTAACAGTCTCCACGTAAAGGAGGAAATAATTGTTACATAAAAATACAATTGAGTTGTAAATTAGTGTTTATCTTTTCCATTTTTTTATCATTTCTAGAAGCTCATTCTGTCAAATCATTCTGTTCTTTGATAAGGTGTTGAATTTAATTTAAAATATATTCTATCAACCACACAGATGATGAACCGATAATAACGGCTGAAGAAGAATCAATTCCAGCACCTTCTGTTGACATGATCCAACCCACCGTCCACACATCAATTGATGGAAATGTTCAACTGGAAGCACCCGCAGTGGCTCACGCTATCCCCCTGAACACAATTCGCATCAACATCTCTAAATCTTTGCCGTTAACTCAGCTCCCAGTTTCAAACAATGGCCTCGAAGACATCAGTGCTGATGATGAGCCTCTACCTCCTGGTGAGGAGGTGGAGTTGGAATATACTTTGAAACCAACCTTGGAAGGCATTAAGTTCAGCAGACAACCCCCAGTCCAGAAAGGCAATGAGCTATCAGGACTCTGCTCCATAATGTGAATTAAGAATTCGTTGTGATTCAGTGTGGTACATATTTTGAAGTGCTAATGTGTTTAGTGTTCTAAATAATAGAAGGAAGCAGAATTTTAAAATCAACAAGTTTTGATATGTGATTTTAAAAATAGAGACTAATGTTTCAGTGAATATTATACACGTATTTTACGATACGTAAATGATTATAATTTAGTTTATTTTAATTTAAGAAGGAAGTTAGTTATTTCGATTCGAGTAGGTTCAATATCTATAATTCAGGTATTGTAAATAATTAGTACTCGATTTTTGTACGTTAATACGTATGTCGTATTGTTATGTACTTATTATATATTTGCTTAATTTATAATGTGTGAGTGCCTAAGCAAAATAATTTTATAGTATAATAATTACAAGTCAAATTAATAGTAAACATACTAATTTAATATTAAGGGAGATTCTCTGCAGAAATGATTGCTCAATAATAAAATAAATCTTGTTTTTGTAAATTATCACATTAGAATTATTAGTCTTATTAATCAATTCTGATAACTGAAATAATCGGTTTCTTTGCTTTGGTAGATATTGTTTAAAAAAATAATCATAAACCGAAGCATTCAATTCGCCTAGATTTAGTGTGACTAGTTTGCCAATCAGTATTCCTTTCTTTTATTTTACGAATACAATTTCGTTAGTTTTATTAACCTCGGAACTTATTTTATTGCGGGTTTATGATTGTACACAACTCTTGAAGTTTAATGAGTAGTGTAGTCCATAGTTTGCGTTTATGAGTTGAGTAGTAGTATTTATTTCTTTTACTCCTCCACTTATCTTCTGCTTACTTACTCAGTTCATTGCTTGCAAGATTAAGTGGTTTACTTGAGTCCAAACATCACAATGTAAATACAATATTAAACCAGATAGAAGTCTCAATTCCAATGAATAAAGTAATGCACAACACAGAGTTCGAGAAATGCGAATTGTAAAAACACTAAATTAGGATCAATAATAATTTTTACATTAAGATAATTACCTCAATAATTTAAGTTTGCATTGTGAACTGATTGGATACCTTTTTGTCCTACATGAAGTTATTAGTTGTTCTTCTACAAGTTTTTATTTCCCCACCTAATGATTGCTATACAACTGCTTCAAACCGAAAGCCTTGCTGCTTCGCGGCAGTAGACAAAACTCACAAACCTACCCGCGCGAGCTAACAAAGACGCGCTACCATAAGTAAAAACTTACTGTTCTGTAACTAAGGAAATTTGATTATGTAATGCTCCTGAGTATGCCTCTGTATATATGAGAAACGAATGTAATCATTGTCGAATGTAAAAGTCGATATTGAAAGATTTATTCTAAAACGTATTTGTTTTCTTATCAACTAAAATTAAAACAAAATGTGATATTATAATTAAGTTTATTTAGCATTTTAATGTTTAATTTGTTCACGGTTCGTGTAGTTTTTGTATATTTAGGTAAATATTGTACATATACAATTTGTAAATAATTAGTACTTTGTAAAATTTTAATCAATTTGTTTGGGTAAAGCTACATAAAGCACTTTTCTGTGCGATCTTCTGAATCTCTAGTTTATTGTAAAATTCCATTATTAATAAAATTTTTAGAACTAATCAGTAAAAATATGAATTTTCTTTTTTCCTTTTATAAGTAAGCATGATTTATTTGTCACTTTTGGTTTGTTTTGGTTTATTCTTATTAAATAAAGGTTGTAATGATTCATTTTCGTTTTCATTTATTACCTTAAATAAGAAACCTTGTCTATTACTATCTTCTCAGTTTGTGTTCACCTTTACCAAATTGAAATATATGTTACGGGTAATATCTGGCATTGGCAATGATATTTATTTATTTTATATACCTTTTTTTTTTATTGCTTAGATGGGTGGACGAGCTCACAGCCCACCTGATGTTAAGTGGTTACTGGAGCCCATAGACATCTACAACGTAAATGCGCCACCCACCTTGAGATATAAGTTGTAAGGTCTCAGTATAGTTACAACGGCTGCTCCACCCTTCAAACCGAAACGCATTACTGCTTCATACCTAGTCATTTGTTTGGTTTAAGCCTTAACTTCTTCACATGTCACAGTTATGAGGCCATCTTGGGAAAGGAAGTGTGTCTTTTATATTATTAACACCACAAAGCACTTGTAGTAATCTTTCTAAGCCCAAACCAAATCCTCCTGTGGGTATGTTACCAAATTTCCGCAATTCTAAGTACCAATGCAGTCGTTCTGAAGGTAGCTTTAGTTTTAATTTTTCATAGTTGTCTTCACGCAAACTGCCTCCAACTACTTCACCAGTGACTGGTGTTAACAAATCTAAAGCATCAACCTGAAAAGAAAAGCCTTCTTTTTAAAACATTATTGGCCCATGCCTAGGAGGGATGTTTTAATAAATTACTATTATTGAGAATGTATGAATCCATGTTATTAATAGTGTAATTGTGTCTTGAATGTCATTTTATGAGTTTAAAAAATTATTACTGTATATGGTATTAATTATTGTTTAGGTGTCCTATTAGATAACTACATATAAGTAATTGATTACATAAATTATATTTATTTTTTGTCATTACATTTATATTTCAAGATGTCGCATCTTATTAGTCTTAATTTTAATTACCTTACTGCTGTCATTGTTGCATTCTTTCATATAAAACGACTTCATGTCTTTGGGCCATTTTGTTACAAATACAGGACCTCCACAGTGATCTACCAAAATTAATTCTTGTTCTTTATTAAAATCCCCTCCGGTCCCAGACCCCTTTGTATTCAAAATAAGTTGAGCTTCATCATAAGTTAAGGTTACAAACGGCTTGTCCAACCAAATTGGTTTTTTATTTTCCTTATCAATCAAATATATATCTTTCTCGTTTGTATTTCTTGTTTCCGTGAATATATATTTTAAAAGTTCCTCAATAACTGTTTGCAACTGGACAATGTTCTCACAGAATGCTAATTCTGCTTCTAACATGTAAAACTCAGAGAGATGCAATCTAGACCTTGAGTTTTCTGCTCGAAATGTTGGCCCGAGTGTGTACACATTACCCATTCCCCTGCAAATGGCTTCTAAATGCAACTGACCAGATACTGTTAGAAATGTTTTCAATCCAAAATATAATGAATCTTTATCCTTTCCTTCTTGCATCATTGCTTTTATGGTATCCTCATTGTCTGGTTGAACCTTAAATACTTCACCGGCCCCTTCGCAATCATTTGAAGTCAAGATCGGAGTGTGGATGTTGATATAGTTTCTTGAATTAAAAAAATCATGTATGTGTTTGACGACAGCACTTCGTATTCTGAGTAGTGCCGATATGTAATTCGTTCTCGAACGTAAGTGTAGATATTGGCGTGTGTATTCGGGCGGGTGTGCAGTTCTAGGATTAAATGGATATCCGTCTAAAACGACACAAGGTCCCACAACATTTACTTCGTTAGCTAAAATCTCCAGTTGCCCTCGCGGACTAAGAGACAGTTTTCCTTTAATTTTAACTGAAGAACCGTACGTTAATTGTTCTGTTTTCAGATGTTTCGGAATTATAATTTGTAATTTCTGCGCGCTCGAACCATCACTGATATCAGCAAAACTAAACTCTTTTTGGACACGTAAATTTCTCACCCAGCCCTGAAAAATATTGGAGATACTGTAGACACATTTTCAAAATAAACAACGGTTGTGTACTAATTGTAATTGGTATTTTATTACCTTCACTTCAGTAATACTTCCTACATCCGACTTTTCAACGATAGCTGCAATAGCACAATATTTTCTAGTGATTCCTTTGATTTGAATATAGCTCCTACAGCTCCTTAACCTATTAAATTCTAATTTTGTACACAACATTGTACACAATATTTTAAAGACAAATCAATATCTTGTTCATCGGTCATCAACAGTTTATCGTATTCACATCTTTTCATTGAGGTTATTTTAATGTTTATATACATAGATTATACACTTAATATATTTGAGATTTATATATTTTTTGACAAATTGCTAGTGTGTCGTAGCGATTTCCGAAATATTTCAATATTTTAGCGTTTTGATACAGCGGAATACGATAAATCGATTTTTAATTGATACAACACAATGACACTTTTGGCCGTAAGGTATGGTTTCGCTGGAATATAGCATTTTATATAATGTCGTGGTAAAATTTTGAAGTCATCGTGATCTAATGGATAAGACGTCCGGTACATTCCTGTTGAGCGATGCACCGGTGTTCGAATCTCAGGCGGGTCCCAATTTTTCTAATGAAATACGTACTCACGATTGACTTCCACGGTGAAGGATTATCATCGTGTAATAAAAATCAAACCCGCAAAATTATAATTTGCGTAATTACTGGTGGTAGGACCTCTTTGAGTCCGCGTGGGTAGGTACCACCACCATGCCTATTTCTGCCGTGAAGCAGTAATGCGTTTCGGTTTGAAGGTACGGCAGCCTGTGCTGTAAAAACTGAGACCTTATTAGATATTGGACAGCGAGGACCATTGTTTTGTGAAATCTTTACTCTAGCTCTCAAATCAGTGGTGGTGACATCAGGCCCGCCGACAGAATGTTTATATTTAATGTATAGATACATTTAGTTAAGCCTTATAAAAGAAATAGATTAGGTTGTGAGGTCTGAATGCCTAATTAACCAAATTATGTGTTCCATCCTTGTCAATGGGAGTGCTAACCGTGGTAGTTTCCCAATTCAGCACTAGACCGCATTATGCGGCATAATGCTCAACGTTGAATGTTCCAACTACAGCAACGCTTCGCACAATCGAGCCCTCTCAAAAGTACTGCCTGTCATCAGATATTTTATTAATGGCTCAAATAACTCATGTTACCTTACTGTTTCATTATCATATATATTTTCAATAAATATATCACTTGTGAAATAATTGAGTGATTTAAACTCGGAGCACACGATAAATCATCGTCATCACTATAATCTGGATAAGATGATTCAATTAAAAAGTATATAATTTTCTTAGAACTCATTTAAAAAAAATACTCAAAACGTAAAAAAATGTTAATGAAATAATCAAAATCCAAATTACTTAAAATATCCGTAAATAGTTTTCAACTAATTATTATTGTTTACTATACATTATTTATACATTAATGAGGTTGCTAACTCCATGAATTTTGTTTTTCTATACTGAACTTAGCGTACTCTGCTGATGCATTTGAAAACTAATTCACGTTCCAATTAAGCTTCAGCATAATTCGGTATTGTGTGCCACTGAGTCGCATTATGTTCTGTAATTGGAAAACTACCCGTCTCTCCTTTCAATAGACACTGTGAGGTCAGACATCTTCGCCTTTCATAGATTAGAAAAGTAATTAGTGCATTATGACATGACAAAAACAACGTCAACTGTCATCATCTTTAATTTAGCGTTCATCGGTATCTAATTGTCGTACCACGTTCTGTGTCGCGATTTTATCTATTATTTCATAGTATTTTATATAATTTTAGTTGTCCAAGCACGAACTTCAATACCTTGAATCGTAAGTAAATGTATTAAATCAGATATTTGTACATTCAAATCTTTCTTTACATTTTAACACAGATAACTGTTGAAGAGTCTTGTCTTTGTGATGCAGCAATTTCGTCTTTTTAAGTTTATAAACAGGTTTTAGTCACCGTGACGTCCTTGATCGTCTATTATAAGTTTATTAACATAACATTAGAGCTTAAAGGTTATTTTAAACTAATTAAAATAATTTGCTATGTTATCTTTAAAATTTTGGTGAATGTGCCACTAATCCACTTATGCCTCTTAAAAACTCAAACTGCACTTTCTAAAGTACTTTAAACGTTGAGTGATCATTCTTTCTTTTGTTTTTTTAATTCAGTGAAACAAATTGCTCTCGTGTTAGAAAATTATATTTCAATATTTTATCAGTCTCTTATCAGATATTATAAAGATTTAATCGCTTTACAACGTTCACTGCTTTACTATTGCTATGCTATTAGAACATAGTATATTCATGACAAAATATAGTTTTTCTTAAATTTACATTTTGTCATTTTTGTTAAAAATATTGTACAATAGAAAAGTCCATTACAGCCTTTCTATTATAAAGCATACCTATTTATATTTATAGAAGCAATGAAATTATCTAATGAACAAGAAAGAAAAGTGATTGTCAAACCTTATAATGAACTAAACAAAGATGAATAATGTCATAAAAGTAATTACATTATCTTCATCATTAGCTATTAAGGTCAAGTAAACGTTAAAAACTCGCGACTTTATGATATTATTTGAATGTCCATTATATAGAGAGAGGTAACAAAAGTTATGAAGTGTGTTTTGACAAGCACTTGAATTGCAATGTGGTACCTACTTAGTATAATGTGTATATATGTGTATGAAGTGTGTCTCTAGCACATTTCAGTATTAAGCTGAGCATGTTGTCAATTAACTTAAAATTATACACATCTATATAATGAAGAAAGGAAAAAATGCACATGAATGCAAAATTAAAAATTCAGCTTGTAAGCTGCAAGAGAACTATTTCTAGAAACATTCTAGTTGTACTTTGAAATGATAACAACAATGTACTTGAAAGTCAAACATTCTTCAGCAAATGAGCTATGATTGTGTTATCTGCACTGGAAAGAAACACTGTCTATTACATATTGAGTACTTTTAAATACTAACAGGTTTATGGGAGCCAAAAAACGTTTGTACTGCCTTTTGACTATTGAATTTTTTTCTGGTAAGAACCTGTCCAAACTTTGGAAAAAGTATAAGTTTGTCGTATGTCGTAAGGTCTGATGAGTATGGTAGATGAGTTCTTGTTGAACGTTATAGTGTAGGAACAGTGGGGATGAGCGATTAACCAAGAAGCTTAACCAAGTATCACATGTGGGTCGTGCTTGCGACCGTCCAGTTTGTGCGGCTCTATCTTAATGAGCTTTTTTACCTTGTTAATTTGACCCAAATGGATTAAACATTGTTTTGATCCTAAAGCTGAAAGCTACTTCTAATTCACCCCCCGATTGAGTATCTTCATTTTCAACAGCAAAGACTACAAACTTTGTTTTCGTCAAAATCCAATAATATACTTAGGATACCATCAAAAATTTTGGTTAAGTAACACTTTATTCTCTTCAGATTCATTTTAATATACAATTAATTATTTTAATTTAACTTTAAACAGAATATGGCCGATCAAAATCAGCAAGCAGGCGACACTGGCCCGCCCAAAGGCATCCCAGCCTTGAAAGCTCACATCATTGCCAATAAAATAGACGTAGCTCTTTGGGGGGTTCGCGTAATCACCGTGCTGTGTACCATTGGATACGTGTTCCCGTTGTTTAACAAGTAAGCAACTAAATATAATTTTACTGGCCTTCATAAATTTTGATAGTGTGGTTAGAAGTTACAGTTAAGTTATATAATTCACTATCCATCTAGTAACAAATACCACAAATTATTGTATGAAGTATGAAGAACCATATCAGGATTTTTGTCCCTTTTCTTGAAACTCATCAAGAGCAAGCCGGCTCATTTTCCCACTACTTCTTAGGACCTCTCGTCCTATCAACAATGGCCCTTACTCTATTATCAGGACAGCTTTAATGCTAACGATGCCAAAGGCGTTGGAGCCAAATTATCTAAAAGAAGAAGAAGAAGAAGAAAGTAGATACATATTTAATAAATTATAATGAATAATTTCCTCACAGTCCAGTGTCGGCATTCTACAAAGCGTTACTTGCGAACGCTGCAACTTCAGCGCTGCGGCTACATCAAAGAATTCCAGCACGAGAGATCTCCCTCTCGCGGGATTTCATGGCGAGGTTCTTCCTGGAGGACAGCGCGCACTATCTATTCTATTCACTCATTTTCATGAACGTCGTGCCCAATTTGTGTATCCTTTTCGACAACTAAGAGCAGTTTAGCTACAAAATTTCAGAATACGTCATGTGCTGATAAAGATACTATTCAAGATTTTTTCATTTTCTGAGATGCCAGTCAGTGAAGTCGTGGCCTAAAAGATACCGGTTCGTTCGGTTCGATAAAAGTCCGGTGTACTTTTATCGAACAATGTAACTATGCCGGTGGTCAAATCCCGCGGGCAGATACTATTTTTTTTTAGGAAATACGTACCCAATACGTTACGTCACGAACGTCTTCCACGATGAAGGAGTAACAATTGTGTAATAAAGATCAAAACCGTATAATATAGAAATTTGCCTAATTACTGGTGGTAGGGCATACAGCTGAGTTCGCACGATTTAATATCATCATCCTGCCTTGTTCTACTAATTCATCTCGATCCTCGATCTCATCTAACCGGTCTAATCATCTAATTCGACTCCGATCTCATGTTTTGAGGTACCACCCCCCTACGAAACCCTTTAGTCCGTAGCGCCGTACACGGATTTATTTAGGAACGTTTTGCGCAAAAACTGGACGTGACCTTTTTGTTGTGGAGAATTTTAGGAATTTATGTTTCGCCTCGATTTCCTTTAGACACTTCATAGTATTATTTGTCTTCAGCAAAAAAATGTAACCCTATATTTCGGTGCAGATATTTGAGAATGGAAATCGTTTTTGTAGAAAGTGAGAATGTGAATATAGCTGAGAATACATACGCAAATTTGAATCGGACTATTTCAATGTGAAAGTCGTACGTGATAAGTACGACACGGTCGCTTAATTACAAAGTTTCACATTTTGTCATTATAACATTCGGGCATCGAGCCGTTTGCGGCCACGAGCAGGGCCTATCGGCAACCTATTTATTCGTAACCGCTCATTGACAGTGCGATCAGAGATATTTTTGGCCACATATCGTCTTTTTTTTTTTTTATTGCTTAGATGTGTGGACGAGCTCACAGCCCACCTGGTGTTAAGTGGTTACTGGAGCCCATAGACATCTACAACGTAAATGCGCCACACACCTTGAGATTTACTTCTAAGGTCTCAGTATAGTCACAACGGCTGCCCCACCCTTCAAACCGAAACGCATTACTGCTTCACGGCAGAAAATAGGCGGGGCGGTGGTACCTACCGTGCGGACTCACAAGAGGTCCTACCACCAGTAATTACGCAAATTATAATTTTGCGGGTTTGATTTTTATTGCACGATGTTATTCCTTCACCGTGGAAGTCAATCGTGAACATTTTTTGAGTACGTATTTCATTAGAAAAATTGGTACCCGCCAGCGGGATTCGAACACCGGTGCATCGCAACATACGAATGCACCGGACGTCTTATCCTTTAGGCCACGACGACTTCCTTTAGACCACGACGACGTCTGACTCCCCAACGTATTTCCCGATAGTTAAGACAGGTCTTTCATCAAGCGAGGCTTGCGGAGGTACTCGGTGACTTGGCTGTTCTCCTGGGGTCACTGACGCCTATGAACGACGGTCATTACTATCATGTGTGCAGTATGCTCATCTACCTACAGCAGCAATTTAAAAAAAGATAATTCTGGGAGCAGTTTGTTTCTTAGTTGAATGTGTATTAATTCTGTATAACCTTGGAAATCCGCATTGTGTTCGCTCTTCAGAAGTATGACGTATCTGATTTTACAATATATATATTTTTTGCGATCTAGGTACTACATTCTTCACGGTCCTAGAGTCGATGTATCTGCGTTAGCGCTGTATGTATCGGATTTCTGATGGGAAAATCCGTCGACAAGCTACTCCTCTTCCGAAAGTCGGATACATAGTCACTACAGTGGGTCCTCAGCTATATAAACTATCAGTGGAACTCTCTTATTCTTTAGTTTGATCATTCACTTGAAGTGCGATAGTAAACGAACGAATGGATGTGAACGTTTGACCAATAAGTGACTTTTTGTTGGTAACATCAGATTTTCATTTTGCTGTTGATATTTCGTTGGAAACCTAGATCATTCGGAACTTCTGGTTCGACTTAGACTTTAATTCTTCCTGTAATCGAAGCTAAAAAAAATTTTATGAGAAAAATTCGACCCTCCTGTTACAATGTTGACCTTGGTCCTCACTCATACCGATCCTCGGATCCCTCCCGGGCTTTCGGGAGTGCAAGGGATTCGTTTAGTGGCAAAACTTTAAAAGCGATCGGTATTTCTTATTCATCACTATATAGTATAAAACAAAGTCGCTTTCTCTGTCTCTATATCCCTATGTATGCTTAAATCTTTAAAACTACGCAACGGATTTTGATGCGGTTTTTTTTTAATAGATAGAGTGACTGAAGACGAATTTATATGTTAATAACATCCATTAAATAGTGGAGAAATCAATAATAAATTACAGTTACCGAAGCGAAGCGAAGGCGGGTCGCTAGTAAGTACTGTTTAAATAATACGTTGAATAGATGTAATTTATATTTACCCAGTTGAAGTTATACAAAAATGAATGATTTTGTAATTTCAACGTAACTCAAGGTAAACTAGTCATTAAATCAACATTTTTAATGATTTTATGTGTCATTTTTCTTGTATTCAGAAAAGTGTCTAGCTTAAAATAAAATGTTCTTTTTTTTATTTGCGTCAAGAAAATAATTAAATTTGGGAACGAAAACAAATAAAATTGGAGTGTCTGTTTGTAATATTGAAATAACTGGTTTTTACTACGTCCATATGAATATACGGTACATACACCAAAATAACATTTTTTACTATTTTTGTCTGTATGTTTGTTTCGGCTAATCTCTGGAACGGCTGAACCGATTTTGATGAGACTTTCACTAATAGGTAGCTGATGGTATAAGGAGTAACTTAGGCTACTTTTTTCAGGCTAGTTTCGCCCCGCGGCGTCACCCGCGGTACGACAATAACCGTGGGTAACATCGCGGGACTCAACCATCAGTAATAAAATTTAATGTTTCCGAAGCGAAGCGAGAGCGGGTCGCTAGTCAAAAATAAAATAAAAAATACGTTCAAAAAAAAAAATCACAAAGTTAAGTACCGTAAAATATTATTATCGAGTCTTGTTCTTGTAAACGGAAAACCTTGAACGGATTTTCAAATATCTTGAAGCCATCGGAAGCTTGATTGTAGGGTTCGCGGTGTGAGCAGGCTGGCACTAGGAAGAAGACACTTGGGAGGAAACAAAGAAAGAAGTTCTTCTTTATTGCTTAGGTGGGTGGACGAGCTGACGGCTCATCTGGTGTTAATTGGTCATCGGCTCATAGACCTCGACAACGTAAATACCGCCGCCCACCTTGAGACCACCCTTTTTCAGTCTTAGTATTCAATACGAAATGTATTACTGTTTCACGGCAGAAATAGGCAGGGTGGTGGTACCTATTCGGGCGGACTCACAAGACTTCCTATCACCAGTATAATTTGTTACGTCTAACCTAGAGAATTGTTTTCCGTTGTTGTTATTTCCAAAATTTAATTGCTTCTAGAATATCGGGTCTTTATTTAATTTTTTTTTTAATATTTACTAACAATCACGCCACGTTAACTGGTCCCGTGATAAGTTCGTAAAGAACTTGTGTTACAGGTACCAGATAACGGATATAAATGTAAGATTTTTATTATACACATACATATTTAATATACATCCATAACCCTGGAAAAGACATTTATATTTTATCATACAAATATCTTCCCTTGGCGGGATTCGAACCCGCAACCCCCTTGTATAGTGACCATGTCACTTACCACTACACCAGACGGCCGTTTATGTAATTTATTCGAAAATAAGTTGCTTAAAACTTTTGTGTGTTGATTGTGTTATAGTGTATGATGATTCTCCTTAATGTTCGTACAGTAATATTGGTGCCAATCTTTTTATTTGCGCTGCTACACGCCGCTTCGTATTCCTTGACTATCCTTGATGTAAGTATAATTTTAAATTGAAGATTTAATAAAATGTGTCTAAGTGCAAAACTTTATTTAGCAGAAAATAAGCAATTTGTAAGGTTATTCTGAAAAGATGACAAGAAAAAACGCGGGTTTTTTGTAAGAATTCTGCAACCATTTTCGAGTGGCAATAGAATAAAAACTTTTCTAGTGACTTTTTCACTCTTGAAAATTAAATAAAATGTAAAAAAAAACTTGTCTTGAAACTTCTAAATAGTTTTACCGTTAAAGTTGTGTTTTTTATAGTACAGAGACTATTACAGAGACGTATTGTGTTCTATTTTAAATAATTATTGTGGTCGTTTGACCACAGACTCTTGTGAAATATCAGAATAATATTTTGTACGGGTAATTGTTTAAATTTTAGTAATTAAGTTTTATTTAACACTTAACATATTATTGAATAACTCTAAAAAACAAAAAAGATATGTGCTTGATTTAAAATTAAATGTGTTGTAATATAATGCATTAACTGGCCTTGAAAACGTCATAGTATTGACCAAGCTAAACAATATCGCAATACTGCTTTCGACCAGCCCTTTCTACGTTTTCATTATTATATAGAACAAATCTTCCACGAAAATACCGAGAAAAACAACAGAAAAGTATGTTAAATAGTTATTTTTGAAGGATAATAACATAATTATATTGTAATGGATTCGAGCGAAGTTTCCCGCGCTCACACCATTTAGGTTATGGCGGTTAATGAGTTGTTCAGTGATTTGTCTCGCTCGTGTAAATTTACCGCGAGATTTACATAATTTTATTCTGGTTTACTAGAGTTTTAACAACAATAAGCGGTAGGTAATGGTTTGACAAGGTTCCTTGGTTAGAATTATGATTTTATTAAAGTTTTACAATCGATGATCTCATATAAAATGAGTAATAATACATACTATCGTAAGCACCTCGTGGGTATAATTAACGTAATAATAAAAGCGATAAGAATATCGTAGGCTCAAAAAAAAAAAAAACGCTATCTGATCCGTGGGTGCACCAGACATCTGACTCGCGCTCATCAAAGATAAGAGCAGCTTAATAAAATCGAGTCCGTGAAATTGTGCGATGTCTCTTCACAAAGAATACTATGAGCCGACACGAGTACTATTTTCCTATCTAATTCTTCCACGGAGGCACTGAGATACAATCATGGGGTAACCATTGTTACATATATTTTAACATCACGTTCAAGGCCTTATGTTTATGGACTACAATAATCATGTTACTACCAGCTGCTTAAATAAATAAATAAAATAATACGGATATAATATCAGGGTATTTAACGTAAATTTTGTCTTATTTGCATTCTGATGTGTGATGTGATAACACTGTGTTACCAGACTCTTGGTCAGAATTCGTTGTGGGTGGCCCGTCTGCTCATCTCCCTGGTCGAGTTCCAGTCGCGGAACATTCTCCGGGCCGCGGCGCTTGCCGAGATCGTGCTGTTCCCGGTCGTACTTATAATGGCATTGTTGTGAGTATTTTTTCAAAATTTTCAGGTTTTTTAAAATATTTACCTCGTCCGAAATAATTGGTAACACCCAGATTAAAATACTAATGAAATTTTAATTTTATCTATACTTCTATACTAATATTATAAAGAGGAAAGATTTGTTTGTTTGTTTGTATTGAATAGGCTCCGAAACTACTGAACCGATTTGAAAAATTCTTTCACTGTTTGGAAGCTACAACACTATTCCTGAGTGACGTAGGCTAGAATTTTTTTTTAAAAAAAATTGTGATCCTTACTAAAACTCCAATAATGTAACCCAAGTGTAAAAAAATTACCTAAAATATTCTTTACATCGCGTGCCTTGCGAAAACTATTGATGATAGAATAAAATAATGTACTACGGCTTTGTGGAACACATTATTATTTATAGAAAGTGTCGTGACAGCATATGTTTAACTATTATAGTTATACAAGTGTTCTTTTATTTAAAAAAAAAGTCTAATATCGTTGAAATTTTTGTTAAAGTCCCGAGCGGAGCCGGGGCAGGCCGCTAGTGGTTTATATAGCTGAGGAGCCACTGTAGTGACTATTGCGCCGCTATTATTGATAAAGATACTGTATAGAAAGGATCACGATAATAAACGTTTGCCCGACAGCGGTCACTGCGGCTTGATGAGTCCGTTCGTATACTACTACTTCGTGACGTGGAGGTACGCGTCGCGCCGGAACCCGTACACCCGCAACACGTTCCGCGAGCTCCGCGTGGCCGCCGACGGACTCACACAGCGCCCCTGGGTGCCCGCCGCCCTCGCCTCCGCGCTGCGCTACGCCATCGACATCGTGTGCCGCATGGCGCCGCCCGTCGAGCAACAACAACAGTTAGTACCTAAATGCGCGTTGCTACGCATTGTCCCAGTATTAGCCATGCATTGTCACAACACTAGCAACCTATTGTTACAACCCTAGCAACGTATAGTCACACCTGACTTCGTACTTTTAAAACACTAGCAACGCATTGTCACAACACTAGCCACGCATTGTCACACACTGGCTTCGTACTTTCACAACACTAGCAACGCATTGTTACACACTGGCTTCGTACTTTCACAACACTAGCAACACATTGTCACACACTGGCTTCGTACTTTCACAACACTAGCAACGCATTGTCACACACTGGCTTCGTACTTTCACAACCCTAGCAACACATTGTCACACACTGGCTTCGTACTTTCACAACACTAGCAACGCATTGTCACACACTGGCTTCGTACTTTCACAACCCTAGCAACGCATTGCACACACTGGCTTCGTACTTTCACAACCCTAGCAACACATTGTCACACACTGGCTTCGTACTTTCACAACCCTAGCAACGCATTGCACACACTGGCTTCGTACTTTCACAACCCTAGCAACACATTGTCACACACTGGCTTCGTACTTTCACAACCCTAGCAACGCATTGCACACACTGGCTTCGTACTTTCACAACACTAGCAACACATTGCGACAATACTAGCAATGCATTGTCACAATACTGGCAATGCATTGTCACGACCTTTTTTAACTTAAAACTTGTTCATTGGTTGTTTTATTTTGTACAGGTAATCTGCGTACGGAAAAATATCAAGTCATAATAACTAATGATACAACGAGTAGTGCACCGTACTGCATCAGTGCACAGTTCGGATGGATCCTCACATTACGATTCCACTGTTTACTAACTTTATGCATTTACGTATCTCGGGAACAATTTACACTATAATAATTTAAAAAATATATATATTTTCTGTACATTTTTGCTGCCCTGTTCATAGTTTGTTTTTGTACACTAATTATTAAAAAAAAATCCGGAGAATGTAAATAATAGATAAATTTAAGATTTTGACAGAAAATCTGAAATGTATTTTTTTTAAACTGAATCAAAATTATACTAGTTTTAATTTCTTGTTCTTATTACCTAATTCAAATTGGGTAAATTAATTTTGTGTAATGGATTTTGGTACGTAGTGAAGTATTAACTTGGTATTGTATATTTTTAATGAATGGCAGTATTTTTTTGCACTCATTAGAATTGATTTAATTAAACTAATAAAACATCATAATACTATATCATAAAAAGAAGTTTATTTAATATTTTTCGTTCATTTAAGGAAATTATTCTCTAAGCTGTAAGAGGTCGTCGGTATTAAATAATTTTAAGTTAATACAAGGTTGACTAATTATAATGCAGTGATCAGAAAATAAGGATATTTGTTAACTCACTTAAAATGTTTTTTTGGCATCGATACTTAGAGAATTTAATTTCATAACAGCACCAATTCATTAATAAAAGTGAAATGGCCACATTTTTCAAATATAAATAACAACAAATGTAATAAGTTATTGCAAAACTGAATTTAATTGAAATGTCCTTATTTCTAGATCTATAAGAAAACAGCGAAATGCATTTGTTATCACTCTCCTACATGTGTTATTTATTTATTCAGAATGTTTTATGCTCACGTAATTTTAAATGTATTTGTGACCCATACTAGCGCTTCAATTACATACTTAACAATCCAAAAAGGGATTTAAATGCGTTTAAAACAGTCAAGTTTAATTATCCATATTTAAGTTGAAGTTATTATCTCAAGTCACAAGCGGGCTTGATCGACTATGTCCCGTTTTGAATAATTAGTAAATGTAATTATTCATTATGTGTGCAATAAATGCAAGTATTCTAATGTTTAAAACGAATTTAAGTACAATTATTATGAACTACATTTGCATATTTTTTCAACTGTGGTGTTGTTTCTGCTATACAAATAGTATCTGCGTAATGCAGTTGGTTTGGGTTGTATGTAGTAGTTCTTTTTTTAAATAAAATATATTGGTAAAAAGTATTTTTAATTTTAATTTCACATTTAGGTTTTGATGACCAGAGAAATTTACACAGTAATAAACATGATATTCATGTGGATATCGTTAGTTTAAATTGATATAAAACTTACTTACTTGGCCCGTCATGACTTATGCGAGTGTGGTGTTCGCTTACGCGGCCCGCACACAGATAGACACCCTCCAATCCCTACAATCCCGCTTTTGCAGGCTAGCCTTCGGAGCTCCGTGGTTAGTGAAGAACGTTGACCTACACGACGATCTGGGCCTCAAATCAATCAATCAATTCGGAAATACATGCCGTCAGTGTCAGAACGACACTTTGATAAGGCAATGCGTCATGATAATCGCCTTACCGTTGCCGCCGCTGACTACTCCCCGAATACTGATCACGCAGAAGCCAGCCACCGTCGACGCTCTAGACACGTCCTTACGGATCCATCAGATTCAATAACCTTTGCATTAGACGCCTTCAGCTCTAACACTAGGAGCAGGCTTAGGGACCCCGGTAACCGTACTCGTCGAACTCGCATCCATTTTTTTTTTTTTCGGTTCGGGTGCCGACAGCCGGCCCACCCACTAAACGACTCCCCTGCACTTTTACACCCGACGTCCGATCTCCGTCCGGGGTCACAACCCGGTCAGAGTAGGGGGGTTCCCGCGGTCAAAACTACAACCAGACACGCAGCGCCATCCCGAGGACGCCCGACCGACGGGTTGTCGAGGCGATAGTCGATGACCAACGACGTCGGTTTCCGCGGTACGGCAGCCCTACCAGACCGCCCGGGCGATGCCGCTGGTGTTCCGGGATACCCCGCTGGGCCAGAACCGCCTGCCGGGTCGGAACGCGATACACCGCCGACCGAGTCGAACCCGCATCCTACCCTAACCTAAGTTTCAGCCTGCTGAGTTTCTCGCCAGATTTTCTCAGCGGGTTCCGATTCCGATCCGGTAGTAAATTTATTAGCAAAACAGCTACTCTTGAGTTGTTAGGTCTCCTTTGGAGGCGCTCGGGTAGCTGTTTACAAATCCCACCCCTCCTAGCTGAGCCTTTCCTCGCCCACCTGTTGAAACTGAAAAGGTCTCCGGGCAACCAGTAAATTCTCAAACATAAAAAAACATATTTTTCATAAACATCTTTTTTTTTGTTTGAACAGCATTTTTAAAATTTCTATAGTAAAAAAGAAAAAAAAACTCAATTTTTAAAACTACTATGTAGATTCAACCGAATTATTTTGTAAGTCTCGCTATGTCGTGATGAAAATACATAATTTGAATATGCGGCATTAGTGTGAAATTGGCTGGGAAAAACCAAATTACTTTCCCAATCCAAATTTAAGTCAAATTCACGTGTAATTTCATACAGAACAAACTAACAGTATCTAGACTTTTAATTGATTTGCCTTGGTCTGAGTACTCGGGTATTACTGCCCTTGTTGTCTTTCTTTTGTTTTTAATTTTTTATTATTATTAATAGTATTGTTAAATCTCTATTAATATATTAATGTAATGCATGCTGTGATTGCCTATAATTAGAGTTGCAGTTATCAATTGCTCTATACATGTCAATGTTATTTTATGTCTTACTGTAAACCCTGTGGGTAATCCTTAAAGAAATAAATTATAATCTAACAGCATCCTGAAGGCATTAGCAAACCGTTATGACTGTCGGTACTTGAACCATTGGTTCACTAGCGGACTAAATAAAAAAAATATTATTATTGTTGATCGAAGTTTAGAAGTATGTATCACATCAGTTGAATGGAATATTTAAATGTATTAAACTGATGGTTATTTTTGTTAGTGTATTATTAATTTTGTTTTGGTAATTTTAAGTAATGTTTCAATGATACTATGTAGGTGTGTTTGGGGAGTATATATACGACAAAGGGAAGATCTTCCACCGAGCGGGTGATATTGCTCGGTGGACCGACGGTCCGAATGTTGTTGTTCGGAACTTGTATATATGCGCTTTATCTTGAAAATGTCGAAAGCGAGATTCAGGCATCTGTCAATTATCTTGCGTTGTATGATGGCTACCCGCCACAGTGTGGACTTGTCCGAAATAAAATAAATCATTCATTCATTCATACATTCATAACTGTAGTTAAGTAGGGGAACTTCTTGCCTATTAAGCTATTGAAAATATTATATAATTTGTACCCATAATGTAGAATGTCTATAATTATATTAGTAAACTAGCTGTGCCCGTCCGCTTCGCTGGGCATTTAAAATTAACATTATTTCTCACCCCCACAAAGATTCTCATCATTAACGCCACCGCAACTGGTCCACTGGAGTCCATCGCTCATATAAATATTAGCCTATCCATTAAGTACATGTATTTTCTACCTGGATACCAAGTTTCGAGTCAACCGGATGCACAGTTCAGTAGTTATAACGGAACATCCGTAAAAACCACTGTAGATTTATATATTAGTATAGATTAAGTAAAAGTCCCAAGTTTTTCAAATTTTTTTTATTAATATAGTCTTATATCCTAAGCGACAGCGGCGACCGGCTGCGGCAGAGGCGCGGGCGCGAGGGAGCGCACTTCGCTGGTCGGCTCGAGGGGCACGGGCTCGTCCTTGGGCTCTGTCACCAGGATGTGGTCTGGTTGTGGCTTCTTCGGGCCGTTCTTGCCTTGCTGGTCCCACGGCAACATGATTTTGACCTAAAATCATAAAGTGACGTATGTTAATTTAAAGTATCAGACTAAATTCGTTTCCAAATGATTCTCGTCCACCTGATGGTTGTCTGGAAGAGATAGCTCTTAGCGATAAAACCACCAATTGTACTTTTTTTGTATTTAATGTATCACACTGTTTATTTGTTTTTTGGTGTACAATAAATACTCTCTCTCTCTCTCTAAAGAATTATAGGTTTGCTAAAATCTCAACATATAAAAATAACTGCAAAAGTAAAGATTAATATCCATTCAGATCATGTCCGACACGTCAGATATTTATTATTATTGTAATGTTAATAGTCGTGTAGAGAAGGTTATGTCATTATTTACAGAATCAATAATACAACACTTCACTGAAAACTATGCACTGATTTGACTAATATACATGTGTAACAAATATCAAAATTTAATTATTTTTTTATTAAAAGCGAGTAATAATTGGTGTTAATTTAAAGCAAAATAGCTATTTTTATGATGGTGGTAGGTTTAATAATCAGACTAGTGTTTTCTTGAGTGTTTGAGAGCTGTGGACATTAAAATTGTTTGGTTTGCACCGTAACAGAGCCAATATATAAAAGACCCTTCAATAAACAAGCCAGAATACTCTTCCACTGCAAATTAGATCAAAAGCCACTGAGAGTGCTTGCAATCCCTGATTGCGTGGATTTTTAATTTAAGACTAGGATAGATATTTGAGATTCGAAGATGCTTTTTTTATATAAAAAATACACCATTAGATATATTCATAAAACTCTATGGCTGAGTTCAAAGATAAAACTCTTGAGTATTATTCAAGTGCATTGGACTTCTTAGGATGCTTTGAAAGGAGTTTTTTAAAATGTCCCTATATAGTGAAATCTAGTGGTGAAGTTAGTGTGAAGAAATATTTCGTTAAGATGAAGTAATTTTGTAAATAAATATTTAAACAGGAATAAAACAGTAATTATACTATTTTAATTTAGCCTAGTCGAGTCTAGCCTACGTTAATTACGAAGGTAGTCAAATTCAAATACCATAGCGATACCTATGGTAACAAATACCATAATAACATACATTGATGATTTTGGTGAAGTTTATAATAGTATCTCAGACACACACCTTATACTTTTATTTTCAACCCTTTTGGTTTTATACCAGGCTTCATTCTATTTATTTGTAGCAGTTTATACAAATGGTAAATTAGGTTAATCTTACAGGGTATAATTGAAAATTTCTCAAAATTTTAGTTTATTAACAGTAAGCTGTTTCTCACCTTGATTCCTAGTACTCCTTGTCTGAGAAGCACATGTCTGGTAGCAGTGTTGACGTAATCATTACAAGGGTCTCCAGAGTGGATCATGAGTCCATCTACAAACTTCATTGATTTGGCACGTTGACCACGCAGCTTGCCAGATACAACAACTTCACAACCACGGGCACCAGATTCCATGATGAAACGGAGAACACCATAGCAAGCACGACGTACAGCGAGACCTGAGATTACAGTGGATATTACAATTTTTATAAAGATAAATACAGCATCAAAATAAACGATAAATACAAATTATTGAAACTATTCTTGAAAACATACATAAGGAGTAAAGAGATATATAATTCTTTATTCGTTTAGAAAGATTATATATATATATTATAATTTGAGATTAATTTACATTATTGTACATTAGGATCCGGTGCTTCTAAGAAGTTTTTGCATGCAATGTGACTTCAAGGTGTTTTAGTTGAATTTTCTTCAGACAGATAGCAACTTTTAAATGTCATATGTGTGTAACACATTGCCAATCAACTTCCACAAACTTTGTGGCTAATTTATTACAATTCTATAATTACGAGATTTTTTAATAAAATTATTAAACACAATAGCCGTGCCATTAGTAGTGTGTCTTGTGCAGAGGCTGGGTATAGACTTTTTGATTACACATCAAAACAATTTACATTTAAAATTAATGAATAGGAAAGTTTTTTTTTGTGAATCATGTATGTCATGAGCATAGTTATAGGATTATTTATGCACAATTAGATGAATGGTTTGAAATGATTCTAAAATGAGTATGCATTTTATACAATATTTTCTGATTTCAATGTTATCAGCATAACATGCAAGCATATAGCAATAGGCTGATGCAATTATGATATGAGGATGTTAATATAGCCTCAACGAAAAACACATCAACTTATTCTGAATTGAAGTGTCAGGTGTGGGGCATACATACACATAGATATTTAATGTTTGGTTTAGTATCTGTAAATAAGCCACACAGGTTATTTTTAATTAATTGGTGTGTTAAAGAATTTTTCTGTGCTTTTCATGCAAGTTTA